GCCAAAATTCAAAAGGCAGGGTTCGTCTAGTTTTCTAGATGGCGAAAAAAAGTCGAGAGGTCCAGTTTTGCAACTCCTGAAGCGGTAACGTAATGCGAAGTGTTTCCAGAATTCCTGCACACAGATTTTACATACGACGCCTCCAAGGAAGGATATGCACAGGTAAAACATCAGTTCTTCTCTGCGGTTGCCCACCGTGTCGATTGGCTGTCACAGGTGACGTCTGCCGCAGCCTCCCGAACGGTGATGCTTACGCTAATACGAAAGATACCTGAAGCCTTTGCACAGCTACTGCTCTTTAGACGGGTAACCATTTCAGTGTCTGTTTCCATCCACCACAACTAGTATTCCCGGTGAAATTAATCTGTACTATCTCCAAAAGTGACATGGTGACCTGGAAATGTATTGATTTAAACAGCCTGGTTATATAGCTGTGGATACTTACTGATACTCCAGATCGTATACATGGGTCCTTCGTGGTTAGCAAAGCCAAAAACTGAAGAGCCTTCTGATGAAAAGACGGTTATATTACTGACCAACAAACTATGCAAATGGATTAACAAAGTCGGCTGATTATAAAGCAAACTTCCAACATTGCGTGCTTTTATAGTTGGTAGTGGAAGCTATCTGTGTGATGGGAGATGAAAATCCGTGCCTGTCTTGCGGATTGCAGCTAGTTTTAGTAAGACCATGCACACCAGTGATTTGATATGTGAATTATCCAATACCAAATACTATTTGGTAAACTTTCAAGAATCATCAATTTGATGATGCGTGTGAACTGATATCGCCGGTGTCGATGCCATTATATGAGAATAAGAATTATTATTATCTAAACTTTAACACTCCGTATACGCGGAGAAATGATATTTTTTTGGTTTCATAACTAGCAGGATCTCGTGGGCATTTTTATAGGAGTTTATTGATATGCCCCCCATACCATTCAGGACCCTTAAAATCTTGAAGTTGCTTCAGCATATAACAATGTGATGAAGCCAGTAAGCTGGCTTCTCTGGCGCTAAATCGTTAACATGAGAACGAGGTGTTCATTTACTTATTCATTCATGTGTGTAGCATAACTCATGGGGAATGCCTAGTGGGTGTGCAAGATGCGCTGTAGTAATTTAAGAGCATTATGGGCGGCATACCGATAAATGTGGCGTTTATCATCGAGTGGAGAGTCATCCGCCTTCATTTTCCCCTGTGTTCAATTTTCCTATGTGCTTTTCTTGTCGCACGCCCCTTGAACACTAAGGTAGGCCACATACAAATGCCCGAGCACCCTTCAGTTCCATAATTACCGGTGTTCCGGGAAATGGTCTTCGCTCATGACAACGACGGGTATCGGCATCAGTAAATACTAACTTCCTAGATTTAGTGGGTTACGGCACACCACGGCTCATGTTGGCACTAATCTGCAGACTAATAGGCAAGTATGGGCGACGTGCTCCATGAGGGATATTGTTACCGTAGAGTGCTGCCTCATCAGACCATATTAAGAGAAGGCTAACGAAGGAAATCGCAGCCCGCTCTGCCATATGCTGCTTGATGCAAGCGTTCCAGGACAGCGTTCATGAAAGGCGGATGAACAGAGGCATCCCTGGTTGGCTGCGTCGTTCAACCAAATCCGCAGCACGTTACGTACACAAAGGCGCGATGAGGCAAGAAAATATACAGGCGGTAAAAATAGTGATAATAACAATAACTCATTTTACTCCAGACAATCTGTCGTACAATTTAGCATTCTCAGCACAATATGCTGCAAAAAACAAATTGTGTTTACGTACACACCCCTTTATTACGTTTCAAACTACTTTGTTGAGAAAATTTATGTAATGTAAAGAATATTAAGAACGAGAAAATCTTACGCTGTTGGTTGAATTACTGAAGTGGGATTTTTGACTGTTAAAAAGTTGATGTGTGGCTTCTGTTCTAACGCTTGTTTCCTCTCAAAATATGCGTGCTAGGTAAGGTACAGTCAAATTCTTATAATTAGATGCACGGGTATACAGTCTTATGTAGTTTCTCCTTGCCCCCCCCCCTGAGGAGATACGTGGAGGGAGCTGTAAATGAAAGGGATGCTCGGCTTTAGTTAAAACTTCTGTGACCAGTCGCCTGCTGGAATTCATGTCCATCAACTACAGCCTCAATCAGTTGAGCAAGAGGCACACCACTCAGCCTGATGATAGTGAGCCCCATGGAGGCATGCGTAGTCTTCTAAGAAGGTCAAAAGCACTACTGCGCCGACAAACGTGGCTGCAGATCCTCATGCTCACGAGTACAACTATGCTTTGCCTTGTTGCTAACCTGTTCACATTCACAAACTCACCACATGATTTGAGTTAGCCTTTTTAAAATACTAAATTTACTTTTTGTAGGCGCATTTAAACACTACAAGGTTGTTGCGAGACTACAACAACGCGCCTATTAGATTTAAGCAGACGGCTGTAGACAATGGAGAAATGTGAGTCCGTACCTAAGGAATGGTGTATGATGAGTAGTTATTTTCCTGCAAAAACCCGAAATGAAGGAGGCCAGTGATGCTAAAAATAAAGACCAGGGTTCACGAGCAGTATCATCTAACAGCTCAAATCCCATTAACCTCACAAACTCCTAGAGACCCATCAACTTCCTTTGTACATAAAAACCCGTTGCAATACACCTTGTCACATAATCCTTCTTCGTTGTTCACTGAAGTGGAAAGTAGAATGGTTTGTGGTGATTACAGTAGGAGTGAGCAGATTTGTATTACCGTTATATGACCCAGGGGTCTAGGCATTTTACCACCAATCAGTGCGTTATGCGCTTGATACATGCTTCGACGATCGGAGTCTGAGCAACCAAATAGTATCGTTAACCCTCACACAGCAAGTGTACTCACTAAACTAACTGACTAAAGAGTCTTCCGAGGTACCAGGAATGGAAGCTGACGGGTAGGGTGATGATTGAAGCTAGTCAACAACTTGCGAAGCCATCTACTGCTGAGAAACAGTCACCGTTTGCTCTGGATGCCTGGTTCTTATCGGTATGCACCAGAACGCTTTCCCCCAAGTTTTCCCAAACGCCAAGTGCACATTTCCCACATTTTCCCTGAGCCTGAGCCTACTTCAAAGCCTCGTGATAGGCGGAGAATCGATTACTCATTGTTTATATTAACCATATTTAGCACATGCGGTCTCTTAATTCCGCAAAAAGCAGCTGCAAATTACCATCAAACTGACTTTCATAAAATGAACATTATTTACAAAAAATTCAGGAGTATAAATGTTTAGGAGAAAGTTTAGGTGGAAAAGCAGTTGGTCTCGAGAAAACCAACCGTCTTCTTTTAGCACACTGCTTCTGTGAGACATTAACTCTACATTTTTGTGTTGCGCCTGCATCTGCGATGATCCATCCAAATAATACCATAACAGGAGCCAGATATACCACTATCAGTCGTTTTGCGATTTCGCATTTTCCACCATCACAGTTCCATGAGAAATATCGCCCACGTCGTGAATTCACTTTCTCTTAACACTTAAGCAAATTAGAATCTTTCGCCATGAAGTCTTTTGGCACTTTTGCATTATTTCCTCGACCTGAATCATTTGGCCCTAGCCTTTTGAAAAGAAATATGACCTAGCATTTTAGTTTCTTTGCGAACAACTCGGCGAAAGTACTGGTTCTCGGTGAGGGTATCTTCTCGAGCTTCGAGTTCGATAAGTTGACCCTACTTTTACGTGTATTTCTGTTCGTAGTAGGTTAACGGGGCTTTACCGTTGTTCCACTTTTCGTTTAATCTGATAACGCCAAGATTTCTACTCCTTTTCACGTTTTTCCAGAGATTTTGTGTTGATTTTTTAGCTTCTCGTTATGCTTTTACAACAACGGTGGCCATTGTCTTGTAGCGCTCGGCAAAATTTGTTTATGAACTTAGATCATAAACAAACGAAGAATGACTGGTGACGCTGGATCTGTATACTGTGGAATACAGAGGGCTAATGACTCATAACATTCTGATCATGTTTGAACACCCACTCCATCACTTGCTAAATCGCAGCTGTAGCACTAATATTGGAGGACACACAGAAACTAAACCTCGAACATGGAAGGTTGGATATCAGGCACGGCTTTTATTCCCTGAGAGTTGTTAAACTCTGTAGATATGATCCAGGCTACTTCGTCTGAATCCTTTAAACGCCCTATGGGTACTTACTTGACTTGTGGCTGGAATCTGCTCAGAACTGATCTAATAGTTGCATTTTAACCTCCACCCTTTGCTCTTTCCTTGCTTGTACACAGGTTAACAACCACAGGAAGTAGTGATCCACGGATTTTAGAAGCGGAAACCAGTCAGGCGAAAGCCAGTTAATCGAAAGCTTCTTCTGCTCCATCAACAACCATCTGAACTATCTGAATAACGCTGAAGATAGCCGAACTAAAATTCATTCCATGACCATTAACAAAAATATTTGGCAATTATATAATGAAAGGCCAGAAAGAAAAGTATACTGTACTTTAAACCGATGTTTTTTCGTTGCTTAGTCGCGATCAAATCTTGTGAAAACATTTTTAGTTACGTCAACTAATTAACCAGTTCATTCATCCAATGTTTCTTGATCAAGCATTAAAAGTTTCCATAAAGCGTCAAAATTACCCTCGTTATTAATAAATAAGTCTTTTTCCCACTATACTCACAATAACGGATCTATCTCAACCGAAACATCCCACGCCTCAACAGGAAGCCCAAAACCACTCGTTTTAATCAGTACCAGGCTATTTTGCGTTTCATATCATTAGCTGATCGGAAAACCATTTGTAAACTACTTCATGGTACAGGCTGCTGTAGAGGCACCCACACCCATATACCCCTGTATATGCCATGATTTATATATGATTCCCCTCTGTATATATGCCTAAAGTGCTGATTCAGAGAAAATTTATTCGGCGGCGTTTAGTTTTTATTCGCTATCCCTTATAATAAAACCTATCTACTCTCAAGGCGGTGCTTTGGATTTCTCATGTTTACGATACGTTTGTGTTGGATGCTAAGTATCTTCCTAATCTCACTTGTGGAATGTCAGTTAATCAAACACGGTGAAGGTAATTTTTATCGCAAGATTAAGAATATGATCTTGGTTAATTGGTTTTGTGGGCTTAAAAAAGTTCACATTTGGTCACTGGCCAATTTTGATTCTCATTCTATTTATTTGTTCTTACTGAATGTAGGTCTTGAATCTTTGGATGACAAGAGAATTGACACAGTTAGTGTTCAATCTGATACTCACTCAGCACACCAACTTGCTGAGGAATTGTCAAGTACTCAAACCTATCCATCGTCAAACGAAGAAACCAAACAGTACACACGGCAGTTACCCAATGATGGCGCAGCTGTAAAACAAAATGATGGGTTTGTTCACAGCAGCTTGAATCCGTCAGACCATGGGATTCCTGAAAACAGCGAAAGGCTGACGACCAATGACGCTGTGAATTGGGTGGCAAAGCATGGACGCAATCCTCGTGATAATTTCCCCAGAGATCATGATACCAACATTTACCGTGATGGCGGTGATGAACAGCTGTCCAGCAGTGCTAAGCAGATACCACCGGTACCGGATTCGAAAAGAGATACTAATTATCACCACATGCGAAACCGAATGATCAGGAGCAGGGCTTTGTTCATCAAGACTCAGTCGACCATATGCCCCCGAAACAAGTGCAAGGGTTGGAGGTGCTCAGGCTCCATCTCACCATTTCAGTACAGAGTCTTACTCTGATGGGGTTGGTCGTAATCCTGATTCATTTAGCAGTCGTAATCGTCATGATGAGGACTCCCTGTCCAGAAACCCAGATGCAAACATTCCCGGCAAATCTAGATTGAATCATGCCAACCAGCTAAGCTCTGATGAACATCCTGGAAAATCCAGGCAAGTATCCCACATGAATATCAACTGGATGACGTTTTCTCTTTGCCTTCACGTGAGGATCCTATGTATAATCGTGTTGACTTTGTTTCTTTGGTCGTTATCGTGCCCCCTGGTGTTAAGCATTGTTACTTCTACAATCCAATTGCTAACTTTGAGGTTGATTATCAAGTAAGTGCTAAATTCGGCTTAGTGATATCCTTATAGGTTGTCAAAGGAGGTCATTTAGATATCGGGATATTTGTTCGGGATCCAGAAGGAGAACCAATCGCAATCCGTCCCCCATTGTCGGACTCACAAGTTTCGTAAGCTTGTTCCTCTACTTATTGTATGCGCACAAGTCCAATAGCTTTATATCAGTGTGCAGGTAGCAATGAGTAAACTGGTTGACATGTGGTTTAGTATTCATGTGTTAGAAAATGTCAGTTTAAACAAACTTGTACTCATCATGTAAGCATATGAGTTGCTGGACTACTTTAACCGTTCTGTCTCTCGCTAATAACACAGTTCACCTATAACCGACAGAGATGTTTATTGTATGTTACCGTATTACCATCTTTTGTCGGCCAGCGCTTATTTCCGCTCCCTAGTAAGCAGAATATTCTTGGTTTTAACTCGAACATCTTACTACCGTTTAGGGCCTCTCTTTGTTTCGAATAACCTCCTTAGTTTGTCACTGCGTTACCACACCCTGTCAGCTCTAATTGAAATCCACCCAGCAACCTTGGGCGCAGTCTTACAGTGAGCAGTGAGTTACTTATTTTGTGAGGGCTAATGAAGCTACCTGGTTGCCCAAACCTTGGTCGTTAGAACGGTGTTCGAATCAGTGACCAACTGCTCCAAAGTCAACTCCATAAACCAACCAGCCACAACCCTGTCAGTTGCGTCCATTCTGTTGAACTAGGTGCTATGGTGACTTGTTATTGCGTAGCTGACTATCAAAATGAACAGGCAGATAACACTAGATAAGTATTTTTCCTTTAGTTCACCAGACAGGTGTTAGCATAAGGTTATTTCTTACGAAGCGCACTCGCGATTGGTGACATTAAGCTATTTGTAGTCGTCGAGTGTCTATAATAGGTTGCCCATTCTTGCATGCTTGTAATCATCATCCATGTTTGTTAAAGACGATACCTTTTTATGACTTGCAGTTATGTTTTTGTATTTATGTGTTCTGATCAAAATGATAGCGTTTGTTTTGCATGTTCCACGCTGACGTAAGCAAATATTCTCGTTAAACATGTGTTGTAATTTGCTATCACAATGTATTCTCGTTCTCTTTTTGACGACTAATACGTGGCTTTCGTTTTATCTACTGAGCACAACAAATCTTCCGACTGCAGACATCAATTGACGTATTTATAAACATAAAAGAAATTGGTTTTGAAAAGGGAATGTATTGAAGGCGAATCCCTGGCAGTTGTTCATAACCGTTAGTCGAATTTTGTGTAACTTTACCGATGATGTCTTCAAACCTTTGGGTATCTTTAATCAGTTACTACTAAATAGTAGAATGGTTGTACAGGTATAACGTTTTGACAGAGGGACCTCAATTTTAGTTGGTGGTTTCAGGGCTCAAAACCCACTTTTTCTGCTGCTACAGGTAACCAGTTATTGTTATAAGTCCTCATACACTGACGGTTCACATGACAAAAACAGGCTGATCAACGCTAAACGTGACTTGAAAGTACATCAGTTCAAACTATCAAAGTTTAGTGCAGGATAACACGAGGAAGTAGATCGAAGAGGAATCACTTCAAAGCGGGAGCTGTAGTTCATTTGTTTTGGGAGGTGACTTTTAAATAATGGGTCATAGGTTTCAACCTCGCACCGCCTACCTAGGTTTGAGCAGCCACGTAATATTAATAGCCCACACACAATCGTGTGGCTTATTGCCTACACGAATGTGCACAAGGTTACCGAGTGCATTTCGGTCTTGGCTCTCGACATCAAAGGGCGATGCAGCCTAGCCGGTTGGGGTCCGCGGTACAAGAGGAACCAGTGGTTGGAGACTAGGTGATATGGCTCACATGTATACACACATTTTCCTCATCTTAACAACGCTATACCGAATCTCACCACTTTATCATTTTTCCTTTCTCTTTTTTCGTACTTCGTATTTCTTTTGGCTGAATTTTCTTATCTTCATCTTGCACATGATTGCCTTTTTATTTGATGTAGTGATATGAGCTGTGGCAACTCGGACCGTAACCCAATAATGCCTGGTTCTATGTTGATATTGATGATGATGATGATGACATCAAAGGAGAGAGAATTGATACATGTTCAGTGCACTGTGCCGTTGTGAGTGGTTTTGTGCTATATCACTGTAGTCTCCAGTCGTTGGTTCACGTCTTTTCGATGACTCCATACAGTTTATTTTCATTTCCCTAAACCTGTTGTAACAGCAGTCAACCATTTCATGCACCTATCTGAGGTCTTGGTCTCACTGCTCTGAGCCTTATTCTAACCTAATCTTACTCTGACCAGCAATTTTTGGCTGTTAGAATGAGACGCTGCACCAGTCCATGGTCTCATATCCCAGTACAAAAACCCTTACCGGGTTACTAAGTGGTCTTATTCGTTATCACCATGTCGAGCAAAAGTGAACAATGTTCAAACTAGGTGCAGTTCTAGGCGTGGAAAAGAATTCATTTGTGGTAGTGAATTCGAAATTGTCCGATTTGTTGGTACATACTACTTATTCCACGCCACCGTTTATGGTGATGCGCCGTCTTGTGATCAAGTCTCACGGTTTGTTTCTAACACTATGAGTCGCTTAGGGAGATGCAAACTACCGTGTTGTGATTACTAAGATTTCGGAAACCGGTTTTTGGGGGCTGAATCATACGTTTCAAAGTTTACCACAGAAATCCATGTGTATTAAGGTTACTTCACTGAAATTGCGAACTCCTTTTTTAACCTTCGTCACTTTGTCTTATTTCCTTGTTTATTCTAATTACTTTTCACTTGTGCTGATTTTTTCCTCTGTCGTTTGTTATGGTGAGTAAAATTTCTGCCTACTTGTGCGAGGTTTTACGATAGGTTATCTGCTTACAAGTGAGGTTTCTAAATGTTGTCATATCTGCGCCTATTTTCTAGTATCTTATGACAAAGCAGTTCAACGGACGAAAGCATTGGTTAACATTATATAGATCCACTGTGAAATTATATTAATTTCGTCATACTTATTATCTGAAACGATTTCCTCCTTTTTACTTCATGAGGTAGGCATCTAGATAGTTGGCAGAGGACTACTAGAAGATACAACTGTCTTAGCAACAATTTTCTGTAGCGCTCAATACTTGATAGATATGCTCATTGTTTACAAGATCCAATGTTGTTGGGATGAATCCTATTATTTCGTTTAGATGGAAATAGTATTGATGTGGAGCCTGTCAATCTATGGTTATTAATATCGATTGCGTTGGTTTATGCAATTCCCTGATGTTTATATTTATCGTCACTGCTGAACATAGGTCATAGTTTAACATGCGTTTACTATAAAGTAGAATGTATCAGTTGTTGCGAATTGTGTATGTGATCAAACTTATGCGATGCACGAAATCTGAGCTTCTTAAGACGTCCATTCAGAGTAATATCTGTAGAAAAAAAACAAGTAAGCAGTAATAACTCAGTTTGTTATAAGACAAAATGCCTACAGTGTATGGTAATTGGTAGACGCGGTTGAGAAGTGTGGCAACTCTAACTGATGCACATTTATGCGAAGTTCTATTTCTTTTCCATCTGCTTGTAAATGAGACAGTAGAAGTATTAAGATTTGTCGGTGAAATCAGTTTAGGCTTCACTTAACAAGCTAATTGAATTCGAGGGTTTATTACTCAGTTATTGGTGGTGTGTATTTCGTAGCTGGTAGTGACACACTTCTCAACGTAATATTTTTCTGAGTTGAGAACATAATGGTGCACTATGTTAGGGTAGGTGTTTACAGTGAAGAGATCGAAAAGTGTTTCATAAAGTATTAAGAGTAACACTTAAGATTTGCTGTACAGATTTGAAGTTACAAAGCTTAGTGAACTATAGTGCTAGTTCGAGACACTTTTCACTCTTTATCTCATCTTCAGCTGTTTAATAGAGCCTAATTCATTGTCACACATTTCTGACTAATTTTTATGGTGAATGGAGTGCATAAAGTTCCTTCTTTTGCATTAATAAGCTGCCTTACCAGTAATAGTTTTCCCTCTTCTAGAATATCTGTTCCGAAGTACTTCCGTCTATTGCCTTATGCGATTTGTTTGGACAACAGAAAAGCTAGCTATGCCTATAAATATGTATATTTCTCTGTTGACGTAAATATAAACTGGGACAATCCAAATGAACTAGAACGACAAGCCATAGAAACATTGAGAAACAATGCCCTTCTCAATTCACAGGTTCAAGCAGCAAGTGCTGAACATGCAGAAAATATCGAAAAGCTGATGGTTAGTTGCTTTTGTAAACTACTTGAAAATGTTTTTGAATCGATAATTTGCTTAGTCCTGAATATCTTTTGCTTATCAATAAACGCCATTTCGCGATTTCAGCCCAACTAGATTTTATCATTTGCAACAGTTGTTACTTATTTTCTCACTGCTTCAAACTAGATTGCTTATAAGACGGAAAACTTCAGGTATGGGCTTGTTCAAGCATTTTGTAGGCAGAGTTTTTATACCTCGTGAGATATTTTTAGTTTAGCCTCATAGACCTATCAGCTGCATTAGTGTAGAAATTGGAAAACGTTTGCATGGTAGTGTTGTGTTATTTTTTGTCGTGCTCTATAGAAAAATGTGTGCTGTTTATAAACCTCTTGTTAAAACGTGTGAGCTCAGTTACTCAAAATCGGTTAAATTTGCATGTCTTTTGGACTCCAATTGTAACACCATATTTTATGGTGAGGTGTGCACGAAAATAAAACATATCTATTAGCGACAAAACATTGAAATTATGCGGAATTGTCCTCATTTTAGACTTTTACATTGTTCGTAAGTGTTTTATAGCACTGAAAAATTCAGATTTTGTTGAGATCCATTTTGTAAATTGAGAACATATTGACGATTAGTAAAATCCTTTTTTTAAATAAGTAAACAGTTCAGAAGACGTTTTTATCATTGTATCAACTTTACTTCTTTCACTGATGTCATTGGTTTGTTATCTGACAGACAATGACTGGGAAAATCAGCGTAAAACCTTGTACACAGGTGCAAGTTGCAACACTTTACAGTGGTACACGAGAAAAAGGTAAATAGAATAAGAGTGGTATGGAAGTAGACAAAGTTGTGTGAAAGAATCAGCAATTTGCAGACAAAGGTTAGTGCGAATATTCAAGCTTTAGAAGACGTCAGACAGTGAATACATCTGCGTCATTGTGACGGATTTTCAGCCATATCTGAAGGACTCAAACCAAGCAGTCCACATCTCACACAATTCAGACCAATGGTAAGAGATTGATCCCGGGTCTTGGTATGGCCAGTTGATATATTAGATTTACCACTAAGTGCAACAGTATTGTTTATCAGTTAGTCTGATCCATCTCAACCGACTAAGTTTCACATTTTCATCAATCAACTTGCCTTTCTTGTCTTGTACCCTTCGCCTGACCTCCTCACTGGTGATTTATAGCGATATGGTGTTTATCTGTTCATCGTTGGTTTGAAGTCAGCGGACGCCATGTGAGACTATCTCTCCTAATGCCTAAAGTTAGTGCCAAAAACAAGTGAGTCTGAACAAAATTGCAACAGACGATCACCGTTGTCGGTTCGTTGGAATGGGATTCCGCAGATACCTCTAAGATGCCTTTCCAATTGGTTCAGCTTCTCTACTTGAATGTTGAAGTCATCTACCATTATGACTAAATCGGAGCCTTTTGCTTTCTGTAGCAAAGTTGATAGCTTCTCATAGAATTCATCCTTTGCAACATCCGAACTACAGTCGGTGGGTGCGTAGGCGGAGATAGCCACTAGGCACTGGTGGGTCTCGTGATCCTTCCTAGTTTTTACAGATACATTCAGTTGAGAAGCACACTTTTTGCTCCATAACTCAATGCTGTGTCCACACCAGCCAGTCCATGAAAGCTAGCCGTTCATTCTCCTGATAGTCCTAAGGTGAATTTTGAGGACACTACTATGGCCAGGTGGGGTCAATTCAATAACCGCACTCGGGTCCTGTATATGTGTCTCAGAGACACAGCATACATCCATAGCTACAGATTACAGGGCTTTGGCGAGTGATGCTTGCTGTTCAATTTGGCATAGAGTCTAGACGTTGGAAGCTCCTCCGTGAAATCGATGGTGGTGGTGGTGGGGGGGTGGGGTCTTAGGAGATTCGGAATTAGGTTTTGATAGCTACGATCATTGGCAATGGTTTCAAAGGGGGGAGCTGGGTAAGGCGTACGAGGCCTAATATTAGTGTCAGGAGGTGAAGTCAAAGGAGGAGACAGAGTTGAAGAGGAAAGGTTGTGTTTGGTTGGGTTTTGCGTACTAATGGAAGCGTGCAGGCGGTCTACACTTCTCGGCTGCCCACATCGTAGATGGTTACCCTGATAGAGGGAAAGATTTGTGTGGCCGAAGAGACTATGGGATATCCAACTGAGGCCTGTCATACGGCGTTTTGTGAGATGTTGTTTTGAGGTTTTGTTCTAAAGGTGGCTAGAGAGGGCCCATACCACCGGCGCCGGAAGACCGTGGGGCAGGTGGGATGTTATTTTATATTTTGGTTTTATATATTATTTTATATTTTATAATCCCCTTCCCGTTGGGAAGGGAGCATTAGCATGTCACTGCTGGTCATCCTAGGTAAACACCTTATGACTGTCATACTCCGTCCAGCTAGTAGCAATAGGACTTCACCCTCAGACCCCATCATAATGTAGTAATTTACAATACAACAGTAACTGCTTTTCGTCTTACCACTATCCAAAAGACATCTGACGCGGTAACACCTTGAGGGGACAAGCATTCCACCAGCATACCTCGTTGGGTCATTGTGATATCCAAGCCCGATCACCACGTCAAAGATGATCGTGCTAGTTAATTACACCAAAAGTAGAACCATAGGAATGTTGTAGTTAAAAAGCATATTGAGTCCCATGCGCGTACATCAGTAATAACTGAGTAAATGATGAGGAGAGCCTACCAAGTTATATACTGTCAATTTCCCTGTACAAAGTTGTACGCAAGGTTTATCTCTATTACCCAACTTTAGATACCTCTTTTTTTCGTTGACTGGTCGTATGAAGGCTTTGTTGTGACGGTGAGAACACAGCTACTGTCTTCTAATATTTGATCATTCCCAGGTTGAATATTTGACATGTGGTAAATAGTTATCTGGTTCATATCTTTTGTAAATATGCAAGAGCTCATTTTGCTATTTAGAATAAGATATGCGCGCAATCAGCTGGGATGGTCCTTTTTTGGTCATATTTATCCTACAGTATCAAGTTTTGACCAAAATTTCGGGTAGGTTACTCAGCCCATTATGCATTTAAATAGACATCAGTACAGTATTTTCGGCGTAAAAAGTTGAATATACTACACACTTCCCGCTTTTAGGTTCACAGATTTTCCAAGCAATCACATATAGTTATGCAGTTAAAGAAACTAAGATCAATCATCCTTGTCACCGTTTCTTTGGAAGTTGCGTTCTACTCTTTCAAACAACTCAGCATCGATGATAAGTAGAGAAGTGAAATGCAGCTTCTGTTTCATGAAACTATTGAAAGCTATGGTATTCATATTCAAACGCAGATACAGATGGTTTATCTTAGTACAGCATTTTGGTTGTCTACTATTTAAATGATTTTAGATTGAATGGTATATCCCTTTGGTCTCTACAAGAGTCGGTAAATATGACTTATTATTTATAACGCAAGTTGTAAGAGTTTAACGTTTCAAGTTCTTTACATATCTCTTTGTAAAGCACATATTTAGCTGGTACTATCATAGCATCTCAACTCTTAAAGTCTCTGTAAGGTCTCTTTGTGATCGCTGCATTCATTTGTTGAAAAAGAAAGTATTTTTTTGTAGATGGTTCACAGCTGCTTGGGGAATATTGTTACTTAGTATCCCAAGAACTCAAACTTTCACTTTCAGGACAGTCTGTAAGTAGTTAGCAGTTTAGGATCCTAATATGATGGAGTTACATGGTGCTCAGAAAAACACTGAGTGTATGAAGCTTGAAGTTTGTTATCACCACCAATTAGGAAGGAAGTGAATCGTGGACTCGAACTAGAAATGTGTTAGGTATGATAGTGCATAGTATGCACTTACTTTTGTCAATGTGAATAAAAGTGGTAGTGTAGAGGAATCCACATTCTTCGTGTTTATAGGACTCTCAGGTTTATTGGTATATAAACTAGCATTCCAGTTACTGCCTTACGGTTAACAACAATTTGCGTACAGAGATTCAGGCGGCATTCACAAAATGTGCCCATTTCCTTACTTGATTTGTGTTTTGTATTTCATCTTTTTATTATTAAATCTTCATCTACATAGGTAATCATTTTGTCATCACGTGTGTATCAAACGGTTGATGTTAGACAATCGAAATAGCAGCTGAGTGGTATATCTCAAAGTAGCTCATTGTGATGCAAACGTACTCTCTTTCTGTCTTCGTTTGGATCGTACCATCACATATTTTCGTTCATCTCATCCTTTCCACTTTATGTTACGACTTTTAGCGCTTCATGGTAACGGTGTTATAAACTTTTTGTGCTTCCTTTTGCTAAATTCTGTGCAGATGTAAGTTGTGGTAACTTGTTACTAGGGAGAAGTCAGGTCATGCGTTGACCCGTGTCACTTGATTGAAGACGATGCCTTTTCATGTCCTGTAATTGTTATTGAAGTTCCCTTATTCTCTTAAATAATTAATCGTGGTGCCGTACAAGTCAGTCAGGCCACAAGGTTTTCTTACTTTTAGGGTGGAGTGTTAAGATAGGTTTTAAATACCTCAGAAACTCTTTTATTTTTCTATTTTAAGGCACAGTTGGATGTAATATTTGGTCGCTTACGACGCATCGAACATATGCAACAGCGTTCTAGTAATTTCGACTCCACAGATAAGTCCCTGATGGAAGGAAATTTAGAGCGTATAACAACAGGTTCTTTATTTCAAGTTATCCTTATGGTTGCCGTGGCAGCTATCCAAGTTGGACTCATTCGTTCATTATTTGATCAACAAAGCTACTTCTACAAAATTTGGTTTGGAAGTAGGCCTCAGAACTTGAACGCTCGTTGTTAACATATTGTTTTTTCCCAGTAACATGTTCTAGTCTTCAGTGTTGTGCTTTTTTTGACTTCAGTAGGATTTCTTCAGCATCCGACTTTCATAATGCATTTGTTCTTTTGTATATTCGAATGTATACGCATGTCATCTCGAATTTTTCTTATACTATCCACAAATATCCGCTATATACGGTTCTCTTTTTGTGTAGTTTGCGTTTATTTTGGTTGACAACTGTACTTTTTTTTTCCAGTTGCTATTTTTACAAACGTGATTGCTTTGTAATAAAGATTATGACCATTCATTTCCTGTTTTGTTTTCATTCATAATTGTGATCTGTCTATTTTCTATCAATTTTTTTTTCTTATCTCACCGTTTTCTATTCCTGTTGAAGTAAGAAGATGGTAAACAGATTTAGAGCGACTAGTTATCTCTAATTATTGTCCATCTTACATTGAATAATTTGATTCAATATCTGTAGGTAACTGCTTAATGCTATGTATGATGATTATCTGCATCACAGTGTCGTATGCCTTTGATTCTGAAGATGTTTGGTCACGGGTTCAAATCCTATCTCGCTTATAGCTGTTTAGGGGGCGAGATGATAGTGCTAACCTTACGGAATAGATGGTTCATAATTTATTCCTTATTCCTGAGTTTAATACTTCCTAACATACGTAGCGTTATACGTTTATCTCGCTTATGTTACCAGTCTATTCCATATAGATTTTTAAATTTTAACGAAGTTATTTTGTCTTTTCAGTGTTTTAGAATTAATAGGACAAATAGTTCCCCTGATTCTATAGCGCTTCAGTATTCAAAATTGAATGGCACATACTCTTTTTATCTATTACTAGTTAACACAGATTGAAACTAATTAAGGTATATTTGACGTAATTAATAAGACTTTGTGTTCGAAATCTTTGACCTACATTTTCTTCTAATTAAAATTTATCAAGTTCTTTCTACGTTCCGCATCTGAGATTGCGCTCTACTTGGAATTTTAAAAGCATGATGATTATCTTTTTTTTATACTTTACTTCGTATTTTAGAAGGAAAGATTTGAAACTGAACATTACTTCCCATAACCCTCTGTATTTTGCATCGATTTTCTGAGGTAAGTTGGTATTTTCTCAAGTTTCTATTTCTCAGGTCGTTTATCCTTTAGTCAGTTGTTGCATATAGATGTCTACATTCTATATTTTACCATGTATGTCTGTAATGTATACACTTGCCATTTCCAGAGCATATTCATTTCCGATTGGTCTTAGTGCATACTTAAAACGTATTAGCTACCTGTGATAGGGCAAATTACTATTCTACCACCACCAGTCGTTCGCTTTCGCCGATGTCACCACTGTTTATGAACGATTGATATGTTCCTAGTCACTTCATCTTCCTCATATATTTAGACTGATAACTGTAAGATCAATTTATTTCGTAAACTTCCATCTTGCCTACTTTTTCTAATTTTGTGTAACAATTTTTAATCTCCATTTAATTGTTGGGTTAGCGCACCAACCTTGTTTAAGATTCTGATTTAGTGATGCGAATAGGGTTTTTAATTTCATTCCTTTCAGGCTGTAATTGAATCTCATCGATCAGTCTAACTGAATATTAATGTAAATGACAATGATTTGTCGGTAGTCAAAGTCGAGATATATCTGCAATCTCGATAGAACGTTATCCCCTAGAGGTTTGGCTTATTGACTCTAGTAAGTTGTAAATTGCCGGTATGATCAACGGTTCTTTAGTCATCTTTTTCCTGAGTTCTCTGTTCACTTAATGATTTGTATGGGATAAATATCTCTCCAGTGAAATCCAAAGGGGAAACGACGAGTTGGGAGTCCGAGGATGATATGGAGGAGATCATATGAGGACAAAATGAAAGCTTCTGGGCAGTCGTGGAGCGAGGTTCAAAAGACTGCAGAGAACAGAGTGCACTGGAGGTATGCTAATGAACCTCTATGTTCCACTAGGAACCCAAGGGAAAAATAATAATAATGGGCCAAATATATTTAAGGATTCTGGTTACTTAATATCCTTTATTCAAATTTTCCCTTCCCACTGATGTAACTGAGGTGAAGAGTATTCCTATACGTCACCAGAATCCGTTTTACCTGTATCATTCAGTATAAGCTGAAATAGGATTAGGCTGGAAGGAGACTAGCAGTAGCATAACTAAAGCATGAATTCTCTGACTTTCCATCTGAGCCGTGTGGGTAGACTTAGACTTCCCGACTGCCGAAATGGGTCATCATCATCATTATCAACATAGGACCAGGCATTACTGCGTAACGGTCCGAGTTGCCACACCTCATATCAGCACATCAAGTAAAAAGGTAGTGAGGTGAAGGATGAAGATAAGTGAATGCAGTCAAAAGAAATATAAAGTACGAAAAGAAAAGGAGGAGTGACAAAATGGTGAGATTCGGTATAGCATTGTTAAGATGAGGATAATGTGTGTATACATCTGCGCCACTGACTTCGGTTCTGAGCCATATCACCTAGGGTCTCCAACCACTGGTTCCTCTTGTCCGTGGACCCCAACCACCTAGTCTGCATCGTCCTACATTGCTTAAACCAACAGTCAGAGACTTCATACATTGGTGCCATGTTTTAGTCTGGCCACCTCGGGCCTTTTTCCAGCCTGGACCCACCTCAGCCAACATTGTGTGACGAGGCAATCGGTGACTAGGCATACGTAGTACGTGTCCCAACCATCTCAGTCGATGAAGGTTCATAACCTCGTCAACTGACTTACCTCTTCTCCCTAAAACTCTAGACCTGACTTCTGCATTACTCACATGGTGACACCACGGAATACGTCCTATATTACGAAGGCAACGGTGATCAAACACCTGAAGCCTTTTTGTATCCTCCACTTTCAGTGGCCATGTTTCACAGCCATATAGTAGAACAGACCAGACTGCTGTGCAGTACACGCGACCCTTAATAGACACACGAATATCACGGCGGCGCCATAGGTGGCGCAAATTGGCAAAAGCCAATCGGGCCTTTTGTATCCGTGCAGAAATCTCATCGGCAACTAACCCACCAGGGTTGATCCTACTTCCCAGGTAAGTGAAGTGGTCAACACACTCAACCACTTCACTCTCTATTGTTAACCGCGGTACCGAAATGGGTGGTTTCACAGATCAGGTGATATTGCTCGGGATCGATCTCAACGTTGCAGATGCTTCCATATGTTGTCTTCTCCTTAATCGTCATATCGAATTTCATTATTGTCATACCCTATTTTCCTCTTTTCATACTGCACTACTTTGATCACTCTTTTCCTCATCTTTCCATATCATCTGAGTGTCTTCTATCTTGATTTGATGAGTTGAAGTGTGTCAACTTCAGTTATAGAGTAGTACCCGTCCCATGTTGATCATGACTGCTGAAGTTTATCATTTCCATGCATGTGTAAGCAATCAGTCGCTGATTCATCCTAAAAATAGAGTTGTTTCTAATTTCATAGTTCCTTCACAGATTTGTACTGTTATGATGGTACAGAGTGTTTCTTTTGTTGCAAAGCAGCCACTAAAGTTTGAAATATCTCTGTTACCAACATCTATAAAAGATGCATGAGCTCGCACTACCAGCTTTTCGTATCCCATGCATACGCGTAACTTTGTTAAACTAATATTCTCTAGGATTCTTATGTATTAAAGGTTGTTTATATTTCATTTCAACATGATAATTGTACTCTCGAAACTAACCAGTTTATATTTTGTAAAATCCCAATGAAGTAGGAAAATAAATTTCTGACGTTTCGCGACTTCGTGGAAATCCAGAAGTTTACATAACTAACTAACATAACATAACTGCTATTAGAGGGTACCCTTGTCAATAACAATGGCAGTTACTTGTAGCTTATCAGAAATTGATTAAATCGTGAATTAGGTTGTACGCCTAAAATTTGACAATTTAACTATCGTTCTAAGTCAAATTAATTTCATATTTCTAGATGACCCAGACTGCAAGGGTTGACAGTAATGATGAAGAGTTGTGGAAAATAGCCTCGGAAGCGGGAGAAAAGTTCAGCGCTCTCTACTATCGTGCTTTCGACAAATCGAATAGACCTGATTTACCTGGATTTTTCATGGATAATGTTGTTCTTCTGTGGAACGGAAATCGTGTTGATGGTCAGCAAGCTGTTGTCGAATTTTTTTCCAAACTACCAGATAGTACATGTAACTTACATTCATTATCTTGCCAACCAGTACATAGTGAGTTCATATTTTAAACATACAGCATGTAATAAGTATTTGCCTATATATATATATATATATATATATATATATATATATATATATATATATATATATATATATATATATATATATATATATATATATATTATATATCGCCCGAGTGGAACTAAGTTGGTGCTTAAAAATGAAATTTAAAAACACGAATTATTTGTTCTGAGTTATTTCGGATGCAGTATTGTTCTTTGATAAGGATTGGAACTGATTTAAATCATTATGCAAAATACATCCCGTACTTTAATTGTCACAACTTAAAGTACTGTAAACAAGTATCACTTTACTAGTTAGTTGAACTCCATTGAAGTTCTATATCATAAAACTCTGTCCGGTCAATTCTTCCCTCTTCTGCATTGAAAAAACGGTAAAAAGTCTCGGTGTTTCTTGGTCATATTAAATTCCTTGTTGAAGTACTTGAATGAATTCCAATACTTTTATTGGGAAATGTAATTGCTTTTCGAAAATTCAAGTCGCCACTGTTCTTTTCGAATCATGCGTAAAAATAATTCTGATAACTTGAAATTAACATTACACTTAACTAGAAGTCCATTGAGATCAGACTGGAACCTTGCATTACTATGTAATAGCCCGAGTTTCCATACTTCACATCAGCATGTCAAGTCAGATGGTACCGAGACGCAAGTTACAGAAATAGACACCCAGACAAAACCAATGTAGAACTTCGCACACACGAGCATCGGTTCACGTTGCCACCTTTCATAGGTTGATAGAATAAGAGTGATATGAAAGTAGACAAAGTTGTGTAAGAGAGTAAGCAGTTTGAATACAATGGTTAGTTCGAATATTCAAGCTTCAGAAGACGTCAAACAGTGAATACACCTGCGCCATTGTGACCTGTTTTCAGCCATGTCATCAAGAGTCCTCAACCCCTGATTCCTTTCATATCAGGGACCCGAGATTGGCAGCCAACATCTCCCTATATAGCTTAAACCAACAATTAAGAACTGCAGGGACTAATGCCAGGTCTTGTTCTGGCCGCTCTGAACTCTCTTCCAACCTAACGTGGCTTCCTTCCCCTACCATATTGCGTCAAGGTAGGCACTGGATCGGCATACACAACTGATGTTTAAGCCAACTCAGCTGATGGAAGTTCACAACCTCATCAATCAACTTGCCTTTCTTGCCTAGTATCCTTCGCCTGACCTCAGCATTGCTCACACGTGATTTCACCAAACGCAAGCAATGCTACGAAGACTTTTGTGATCGAAACCCAGTAACCCAGTCGTGTCTTCCACTTTCAGCGTCCTTGTCTCAGCCGTATAACAGGGTAGAACGAAATGCAGCCCAGTATACTCGTCTTTTGATAGATAGTCGGATATCTGACAAGTCGGCGTTACAGATGATGCAAGTTGGCAAATGCCAAATAAGCCTTATGTATCCGAGCTGAGACTCCGTCAGCAACCAGCCCGTTCGTGCTGATGAAAGTGCTCAAGTAAGTGAAGTAGTTGACACATCCCACTACACTCCTTATCATTTAACTGGGAGTACTTGCAGTAGACCCATTTTGGAACATCATCTTACATTTGACAGGTGTCTGCGAAACGTATGCTAGCCAAATATACTCAGGTTTCTGCTCAACTCGTTAAGAGGACCCTGCATTTTGTCATGATTTTCACCTGACAAGACAATTTCGTCTGCTAAGTCAAGGTAGTACGTCAATCCCTGTGAAGTCAAACGTACCCAAGGTTGTATCCATTATTAAGTGAATGATGAAGTTAAATAGGAGCGGTCAAAGCAAGGATCCTTGGCGAACGCCACTAGTTGTCGTCGATTCTGACTAAACTTTCTATAATCCCGTACGCGGCTGTGTGAGTTCAAGCCAAGCTTCAATCAGCGTTACATACGTGCCTAGGACTCCTTTTACAGTAGAATACCGCCACAACACCTCACGGTCGACAGAGTCAAATGGTGCCTTCTGTCCAAGAAACATGACAGACGTCGATCGCCGGTAAGTATGTCTGTACACCGTGACCTGTCGGAGAGTGAAAATATGACGGATACACCCTTGTACAGGTCTGAAACTTACCTGGTTTTCTCGAGTTTGCTCTTCTCAAGCTCCAGTTAGGCATCGCATAACTATGGGTCCTAAAATCTTGGGTACAATATTGGTCAAAGTAATTCTCCTGTGTTTGTCACAGGGACATTTCTCTCACATCTTGTAGACTGGGGTGATCGACCAAGTACACTAGTTTGACAGCACTACCACTAATTACCGTGCACTACCTAGTTCCTGCGTCACTTCAGTTAGCATCTCCTAACTCCATCCTTGAAAACCTCAGATGGAAAACTACTGGGTCCTATACAGAAATAGGGAAGAAAGCAAACGAAAGTGATGAAAAGTCGTGATAACATAATATGAAGTAATAAGAATTTGTTGAATTTAGTATCACAATTAATGTGAATACATCTCCGCTAGTAAGATAGCTTCAGAGTTAATATAATGTTGTCACCTAGATTCTTCAGCCACTTAGCTATATTGTCAGGACAGCCCCACCTGGAAAGTCTGCATTTCCAACTCAGCTGACATCAACAGTTCAAGATTTCATGTACTGATGCTGTGTTTTAATTTGGCCACCCTTAACTCATTTCCAGCCTAAACCTACTTCAACCAACATCGTACGAGAAGCCAGATGGTGAATAGGCGTATATAACGCGTCCCAGCCACCTGAGCCAGTGAAGTTTTACAACCTCACCAACTGACTTTCCTCTTCTCCCGCAAACCATACACCTGACTTCTGCGTTACTGACATAGTGAGACTACGACGCACACCCTATGTTACTGTGATCGAACATCGGAAGCCTTCTTATATCCTCTACCTTTAGTGGCGGCGTTTCACATCCACGTAGTAAACCAGAGGGAACTACGGAGCACTACACTCGACACTTAGTGGACAATCAGATATCACCACGGTACGATAAATCTGACAAGATTTCAAAATCCAAGTAAACCCTTTGTATCCGTTCAGAAATTTCGTCGGTCACTGGCCCATCAGGGTTGGTCAAACTTCCCAGATGTTTGATTTGGTCGATGCGCCCGACCACTTCACTCCCTACCGTTATGTAGCGCACCACTGAAGACCAATTGCTGGGCAACAATTTGCATTTGGGGTGTGGAGGGACGCATTGTGAACAGTCTCAGGGTCTTTACCTAAAAGTACTATGTCATCTGTGTAATTAAGATCTACTAAGGATTCTCCTGTGATAAGATGAACTTCTGTAAAAGTCAGGGGAAGAAAAGGAGACCTCCATAAGTATGTCTATGACAGAAGTGAACAAGACTTGGTGTTGGAATATTTTGTAAATTCTTTATGCTTTTAGTTTGTTTTTCAAAGTACTCTGTTTTGCTTTATTTCTATTTACAGAAAGTCTGAGTGGTGACCGACTGTTGGTTTTAGTCAATGTTTTCGGCACAATTAAATTTGACCAACATCCCATTCATATATTCTCTGAAACATTCTTTCTAACTCAAGAATCAAATTTGTGGAGAGTACAGTCGGTTACTTTTCGCTTCATTGATTAAAAGTAGTGAGGCAAACGCAAATACTTAAGAAAATATTTTTATATATTGCTTTATGATTTGAGAAAAAAATAAATTATTGTACTTCTGTTATACCGTTTTTCTACAACTTGTTCATATGCCCTGTGTGTTATGTGGTACTAGTTGATTTCTGTTAATGCTTTGGATGAAGACAGATTTATTCCTATACTTGACTACTATTCTTGACCGACAGTTGCGAACTAAAATCTCAAAATTCTAAAGAGGCCATGTGTGGCCGGTCTCAAGCAGATGTCCCTTACGCTCTGAAGTCGCGCACTAACCTGTTGTCAGGTACCTCAAGAAGAACCAGGCATCCACTTTGTGGGCAGCTTGGATCTGTCGACGCCCTCACAACTCTGTCAGAACTCAAGTCCCCTCAGATCACCTTCCACATCCAGACCCTTCACCGCATCGGCCAACAAGCTTTGCTAGCCCAAAACTCTAGCATCTCGGGCTATGGACGTGTGCTGTTTTTATGAGACATACATACAAGACCCAAGTGCGGTTGTTCACTTAACCCCATTCGGTCAACATAGTGAATCCGCAAAATTCACCCTTCGAGTCTTTAGAGGTTCGATAGCTAGTTCTCGGGTCTTGCACGTGCGGGCATAGCATTAGGTGCTTTGGCAGCAAGTGCGCTGCTCGACTGCACCCCGGTTGACAGTTGTTGTTTAATTGAATGACAGTAAGGTCCTGGAGGTGTGGCGATACTCATCGTTGTCTCTTTGCAATCTCTAGTTGCGCGTCCATTGATGCCTCCTACCGAAGACTGGACATGTAGATGCGGTTATCGTAGTAGATGATTTCAATGCACAATTGGGTAAGTTAGGTCAGATAGAAAGGCACTTAGGTGGTACTATCGTCATACCAGCCGAAGGAAAAGATAACGGAGATCGCCTGCTGCAAGTATGTTCAAGCAGCCATCTATTTCTGGTCAACACGGAAATCAAACTGTCTGACGTGTCTATCAGTCTCAACAGTGGACACGTGTAGGTATCACTTGACCCTGGAAGACTGCCGCTCCTTCTGGAGCGCGTGCTTGGACAGCGAAAACGCGTATGTATGCGCCTGATAAACCTGAGAAAGCTCCACGAAAAAGACCATCCCGAGCTCAGCTTGACAAACATTGGGACAGGACTGTATTATTCGTGCTGCCGCTAGCGGAAAGTTTCACTACACCTTTTAGTCGTCACTGTACCATTCAGGCAAACATCACATAGACGTCTAACTGGGCTCCAGTCGAGCACTTCACTTTCTGCCTTAGCACTTAATACTATGCCTACACCTGCAAGACCCGAAGAACTGGCCATCGAGTCTTCAGAGACTCGAGGAAGGGATTTCCCAAACCCACTATATTGGCCCTATGAGGTTAAGTGGACAATCGCACTTAGGTTATCTAGGTATCTCATAAACACAGTATGCACCCGTAGTCCGAGATGCTAAAGTTTTGGATAGCGAAACTAGTTGATCGATTTGACGGTAGGTGCAGACATTGGGAGCTCTAATGTGTAATTTGTAGCAAGGGTGTTGTTCTGGGAACCAAGGTCGTTGTCGACAGTCACAGAGGTAGGAGAAATTGAAGATGATGTAGGGTTGTTAACTGAAGGAAATGAATTAAGATTAGAAAATAAGGATGTGCGAGGCGAACGGTGGTCTAAGGGAACTCAGGTGCTGATAGAGTTGTGAGCTTCGTTGGTTAAGAAGTTAGGCTTTAACTCAAGCAGAAGAGGACTTAAGTGGTACTTTCGGAATCCCAGCCGAACGAACAAATAACGGAGGTTGCCTGTTACAAATATGTTGACACAGTCACCTATTTCTGGTCAACACGAAAATCAGAGTGTCTGACATGTCCAGCGGTCTCAATGGTGGACACGGGTAATTATCTGTCTATCAGTTGTTGGTGGTCGATGGGAGACTGCCGCTGCTTCTGCAACACGTACATGGACAGCAGAAATCCGTATGTATGCACTTAATAAACGCGAGGAAACTCCACAAAGAAGACCATCCTGAGCTCACTCGGCTCGACAATGAGGACACTAAGGCTGCTTCCAATGAAGAACCGGCTTGACAGATGTTGGGACAGAACTGTATTACTCGTCTTGCCGGTATCTCCAGTTCACTGTAAAAATAGTGTTCAAGACCATACATAACTCAGAAGGAAGTTACAATGTGCCAGTGGATCTCAGCAGCTTTTTTTGAATTCATGAGTGGGTGTGAACGCATTCCTGCAGCCTCCAAGCATAGTGAGGAACAGAAGAAACTCAGTTGTATGTTATCGAGAAGTCTACGCAATGACTGTGGGCAGTGGATTATAAGTAGACGGAAAAGTAGTGGTGATACGTAACGGCTGGTTGTTGTTTAGACGGATGAAGGGAACTGGGGCGAAAATGTCGGCGGTTAGTGTGACTACAGTGAAGAAGAATGTGTCTGCAACTCACTAGTGGAGGGGACGACGAGCCATTTGTAGGAAACTCCTAGGAACAGTTCAATTGAATTTCATCTACTGTCCAGTTGCATCGTGAAGTGAACACTGCGCAAGGGCTAGCGATTCTTGTAGAAGTCGAGAAGGCTGTAGGTATCCTAGGACGAAAGAGAGAAGCAGACCCTAATAACCCAGCATCTGAAGCATTCAAGGATGATAGACGAGGGTTATCGGTTAGCTCAAGTGAAGTGATACCTAGTGTGTGGTAATCAGATATGAAAGACTGGTGTCAATCACTGGTTGTTCTAGTCTTTAAGAGTGGAGAGAAATCCTTCTCTCATAACCATAGAGGAGCCAGCCTAACGAACATAGTCTCAGATTCTAGGTTTCACAACCATTTGATGCTTAAGTGAAGCTTGATAACAATAAACCCAAGAAAACCAGGCAGGTTTCAGACGTGATGTGAGGGGATCGGTCAAATTTTCCTTCTCCAACAGGTTCTCGAAAACAGGTACACCTATCAATACCTGATACTAGCTACATTTGGCTCCATCGATCAAGGGGTTTTACAGCAATGTCTGACCGAAACGGATGTCATGTAAGTACATCACTCCGCTGAGGGCTCTGTATTTGAACACTAGTTGGTGTATTATAGCTTATAGTTAGTTGTGTACGTCAAGTGGTGTCTATCAAGAGCACCCATTCTCTTCATTGCAGTCATAGACATACTTATGGAGGTCTCCTTTTCTTCCCCTGACTTTTACAGAAGTTCATCTTATCACAGGAGAATCCTTAGTAGATCTTAATTACACAGATGACATAGTACTTTTAGGTAAAGACCCTGAGACTGTTCACAATGCGTCCCTCCACACCCCAAATGCAAATTGTTGCCCAGCAATTGGTCTTCAGTGGTGCGCTACATAACGGTAGGGAGTGAAGTGGTCGGGCGCATCGACCAAATCAAACATCTGGGAAGTTTGACCAACCCTGATGGGCCAGTGACCGACGAAATTTCTGAACGGATACAAAGGGTTTACTTGGATTTTGAAATCTTGTCAGATTTATCGTACCGTGGTGATATCTGATTGTCCACTAAGTGTCGAGTGTAGTGCTCCGTAGTTCCCTCTGGTTTACTACGTGGATGTGAAACGCCGCCACTAAAGGTAGAGGATATAAGAAGGCTTCCGATGTTCGATCACAGTAACATAGGGTGTGCGTCGTAGTCTCACTATGTCAGTAACGCAGAAGTCAGGTGTATGGTTTGCGGGAGAAGAGGAAAGTCAGTTGGTGAGGTTCTAAACTTTTACTGGCTCAAACGAAGTCAGGGACTTCATGCATTGATGCCATGTTTCGGTCTGATCGACTCGAGACTTTTTCCAGTCTTAAACTACTTCGTCCAAGGTTTTGCAATGAAGTAGATAACGGTTAGTCATATGTAACGCATGTCGCAGCCATCTCAGTTGATGAACGTTCACAAACAAATTGACTTAACTCTTTTCCGTAGAATTTTACAACTGACTCCTGCGTTACCTATGTGGTGACGCCTCGAAACAGGGTCTATGCTAGGAGGGCAACGTTTGTCAAACACACGAAACCTCATGTTTTCTATTTTTAATGGCCATGTTTCACAGCCATGCAGTAGAACAGAGCGGACTGCAGCACAGTATACTCAACCCTGAATAGACAATCAGATATCGTCGCGGGTAACAGATGGTGTAAGTTGACAAAAGCCAACCAAGCCCTTGTATTCGCGCAGAGATTTTGTCAATACATGAGATCTTCACCTGTTGGTGTTAGCTGAGTAGGAAAATGCAAACTATTACGTGAGGTCGGTGTGACAAGCGGTTGGAGACTCTAGGTGACATTACATTCCTAATTTCAGGCTAATCATTTCCTCATTCGCATGAGATCCCAATAACCGTAACTGTTAGCTTATATCGTGGCATCAGAAATTCCTAAAGAACGCATAAGATTGAAGGTCACGGCTATACCCTCCCCACTATCTTGAGTGATGTTTGATGGTTCAAACAATGGTTGAATAATTTCGAACTGAACTTGCTTGAGTCTAATGAACAATGATGTTGGCGTTTAGCTGTTTCATTCTTTGTCCATCTTTAAATTCATCTCTTATGTGACTTTTATGATATATATATATGGAGAGAGAGAGGTCGGTGGTGATTTTAATTTTAACTTTGTATTCATCCTTAACTGACATTAGTTGGAGAACCATAGGAATTCGATGGTTCAGAGTTTCTTGCTTCTGTTACTTCGTGACATAGCATGGCTATCCTCCACGTATGCTGTCATTTCATGATTATACTTTACAAGAGAATTTGGTTTAAATGTTTTTACTGAATCTGTTTTTCTTGTGGACGCTATACAATCTTTTACCACTCAAGATGTGATTTTCTCACAATTTATTTCGTAGACACACATTCTTCAGGTAATACAGAATGCCTACATGAGTTCAAAAACTGGTCACTAACTATGCAGTCAAATAATTTATAAATTAAATCTAAATGGGAATTAGTTCTTACGTTATCTGATTAGTTAACAGGTTAAATAGATACGTGGGCATAAGAAATCATTGACTATAGTTTAAAAATGCAACACAGCCTTTAGAAAGCGTTTATGTCCGAATTGAAAGCATTTAATTTCCCTGTACTGAATTTTAAGCTGAATGACAATAAAAGTCAGTTTAATCCGAAGTAACAGGCAAACAGTTTGGAAATATTAGCACAAATCTCTTCTGGCCACTTTTTAAATTTGAATATTCAGTAAATATTGAGATCAGTAGGAGCACTATTCAGCTACTGTGTACCAGAAATTACTAGGAAATATGATTGTATACTTCTATCTGGGCTGACTCCTTATTTCGTTTATCATAGTAATAACTACTCTTGATTCACCATTCTAGAGTTTAGCTGTACTGATTTTAAAGTTAATAATTACCGGAACTGAAGGTAAGTTGAGAATATTATGCAGACGCTTTATTTGTGTAGTGTTATTCGGAAAAAAACAGTAATACAAACAGACAAATTAACGTAAAACTTGGCGCAGAAGTATTATGAGCTTCCTATGAGATTCACTCCATAATGAGCTCACAACAAAATATCTGAACAGAGGTTTAAGCACTTTCGTTTCTCAGTGGTCTCAAATTTGCATTATAGTCCAAGTTCAGGAAAGGTAATTAACTGGAATATGAATGAAAGAAATTACTTAAGATCTACAACTACGTAGCATTATAGGTATTTTGACAGTACGCTTTTTCCAGATGATGACATACAATACATTTGTCACATTAGCAGGCGGAAATCTCACTACTAAGCGGTAAGAGAATTATGTTTAGGTTAGATACTATATGATTCAGTCTTGGTTGATGTTTAGTTATTATCACAGAACCTTATTTAGCAACTTAAGTCATGAAAAATTATCATGTAATTTAGGCACTGTGGCAGATTAATCTAATATGGAATTGAGACATGAATGTTCTTTTAGACTAGTTGAGAATTAAAAGTGTCGTTTCATTGAGTGAATCTGATAAACAATAACTGAAACATTCGCGATAGTGACCTCAAGAGATATACAAAGTGAGGACAGAAAATTCTGAAAGTAAAATAGTATATATGACAAAATACCTGTTTTATTTCTATGGTAGTACTCCGCAGTTCCTAATATGTGCTAAATTACAGAAAGAGATGTAAAGTTTTCCAGAGAATCCCTTCTATGAGGTTTGAATTTAAACTTGACGATAAGGATGTAACATCGTTTCCTGCGTACACCCAGTAACCAATAAACAGACAGGCTCGAAAGAAATAAGTTTATTAATATAAGTGTAAAAGTTAGGCACTGTGATAGGATGTAGTTCTACATTAGATTTCCTTATTTGATATATAGCGCACAGTGATATAGTATTATCAAGTAAAAAATACTGTATCACTCCGCGCCATATATCAAATAAACAAATATAATACGGAAAAAACAAGTTTATTTTGTATTCCAGAGCCATATATACTTTTCGAGGTACAATGCAATTTTTCAGATTGTTATTAAACGGGTAACTGCGGTTCGCTTACTCAGTGACAACTTTAAATACCGTATTTCTCACTTTTATTCTGGTGAAATTAATCATTATGCAATAAAGTAATAAGTGAAAAAGAGTTATCGAAATGTAAGGAAGTATCAAATAAGAGTAGCAACAGTAAGAGAGCAAAAGTTCAAGTGACCCTGAATACAAACACTTACTGGAAAACCTACGAAGTTTTCGGTACTTGACGACCAAACAAAGGTGCTAGATAAAGTATTTCTTAAGTATATAAGAAACCAGCTGTCTAAACATCTTACCTGGAAACATATTTCGTGTTAGTCTAGAATTCGACGCCGGTGACATTTGGTAATGGTCATTTTGCATTGTATAGTTAAATGTAGATCTTTGAATAACCTTAGTTGTGACCTGCTTAATGTGATATTTAACTCGATTCATGAAGCCGCAGATGTCTACCGCCGAAGAGTCTTTGAACTAGGGCGAAACGGCTGTCCGGTGATGATATGACTCTCCGATTCATGTCGGTTTGTGTGGAAAAATATGTTGAGCTCAATCAGTTCCCTGTATATTACATGACTGAATTAAAACTACTTGTAAGTAACTTGTTCATAGCTGCCTTATCAACCACAAGAAAACGGAGTATTGTTTGAAAGCATGCTGCTTTATTTCATGCTGAAGAAGAATAGGTTTACATAAGATACATGAGCGTTTATTAAAAGCAAACAGATTTTTCAAATTCAGCATTATATTCAAGAATAATTGAATGTTGTTTCCTTCCTCACGAACATGACAAGGTCATTCTAAAAGCTACTGAACATATCTTTTTTACCACTGAACTTTTTATTGAACAACGTAAGGATTCCATTGTTAACTGCTAAATTACGAGTTCGAGCTATGCAGCGTGCATTCAACATGAAAAACCAAGCAATATCTTCATATAGCAGGTTTATATTATACAAACTGAAAGTGCTAATCGATTAAAAATATGAAGAATATCTGCCCCTAGACAGGCAATCGACATCATCATCAATATCAACATAGGACCAGGCATTACTGCGTAACGGTCCGAGTTGCCACACCAATCGACACCTCCCCCGCACAATTCAGACCAAGTTAGGGACTTCATGGATTAGTACCACGTCTTGCTCTGAACCCTTTTCCAACCTAACGTGGCTTCCTTCGCCTACCATATTACGTCAAGGTAGGCACTGGATCGGTATGCACAACTGATGTCCGAGCCAACTCAGTTAATGGGGGTTCATAACCTCATTACTCGACTTGCCTTTCTTGCCTAGTATCCTTCGCCTGACCTCAGCATTGTTCACATGTGACTTCACCAAACGCAAGCAATGCTACGAAGACTCATGATAAAAACCCTGTTAGCGCTTCATGCCTTCAACGTCCATGTCTTAGCCATATAACTGAACAGACTGCAACACTGTATACTCGTCTTTTGATAGATAGTCGAATGTTTCACCGGTGCCAACTTTCTATTCAAAACTTATTTTTATTGCTCGGTCCAGGAGACTTTTATTCACCCCTCACTCATTTTCATATGATACTTGTTTACGAAACAACCACATTCGAAGTCAAATCATGTGGGTGAGACTGTGTATAGGAGAAGTAGCAATCGTATGTCTGCGACGTTAGCGTCAGAGATGAATCAGTAAGTCGTAGGATTACGCTGCAATTATAGCTGCGGACACCATAATTTCTCCTCCTGTGAGAAGTAGCTGGTAGCGTATGAGAATCAAACTGGTAGAAATTACTGATCATCGCAGTCTTCAATAAAGAAATCCTTCAGGATGAGGAAATGGAAACCAACCTGATGAAAAATGTCTACAGAACTCTATGTTCTGCAATCACTAAATGTCTAGGTGAAACTCGGAAACAGAACACTCAAAACCAGCAAGCTTTAGACTTAGTCGTGGACATATCGACCAGATATTCACCCTTCATAAGGTTCTAAAACAAGGACACTTACCTGTATTTCTTGACCTGAAATCCACAATCAACTTCGTCGATCAAAGGGTCCTACGGCAGTGTTTCTCACATGAGAGGGGTACCAGGCAAGTCCATGACCCTGTTCAAGATGCTGTATCCAAACACCCTTCTGCATTTAAAACCCTATGGCGAGTTCTGTAAATCAAGTGGTGCCTTTCAAGGATCTCCACTCTTATTTAAATTTGTCACAGATGTACATACAAGCAGGTCTCCCTCTCCTCGCCTGGTTCTTCGCGGATTGACCATTTCACACGAGAATGCTTAGTAGGCCTAGAGTATGCAGATGACATAGTCCTGCTGAGTGAGGATACTTTAACGTAGAAGTTATTCATGGATTTTTAGGCAGAAGAGGAAAGTCAGTTGGTGTGGTTGTGAATATTTATCAAGTGAGGTGGCTAGGACATGTTACGCACGCCTAGTCACCGTCTTCCTCGCCGCACAACGTTAGCTAAAGTAGATCTAGGTTGGAAAAGGCTAGAAGTGATTAGAACCAAACACAAGTCAATGAGTCTGTGACTGTTGGTCTGCTGCATGTAGGTAAACTTATGCTTCCCGATTAACGTCCACGTGACAACCGAAATAAGAAACTGGAGACTTTAGGTGATAAAGCTCAGAATGCATACATAAATTATATTTATGTTATTCGTCAGACCAAATTTCATTCTTGTCCCATTCGCTCTCTTCCCATCACTTTTGACTGATTTTTTTCTCTATCTTTTATCTTAGTGAATTTTTGCTTGGTGTGCTGATATGGAGCGCGGCAACATGGAGCGTTCCGTAGTGATGCCGAATCTTATGTTAATATTGACTGACTGTGAAGAATGATAAACAGTCAATAAATTGGTATGTCAGATATTAAGCTGCTTACGCATGTGGATTACCAGTTTAACTCGGTTAGATGCGTTTATTAAATAATTGTTTCCCAATAATGTAGAATTTATTTGTTTCCAAAGCAATGGCGTGGTGTAAATCCTTTCTTTCAGAAAACGGAAACAGTTCAAGTCTTTTAAGTACTAGGGAGTGGATAACTGGAATTCCGATATTATTTACACCATGAACACCTTAAAGAAATTCTAATTTCACAGTGAACGACAAAAAAGAATGGTAAATGTGGTTAAGATTTCTGAATATAACATAACGGAGGGATAATACGATATGTATCCGCAGATACTTGAAATGACTCAATCGTGTCGTACGAACTCACTGCTTATTTAGACACAATACGACTGCACTGCTATATTCACAAACTGAACAAATGTACTTAGTGGAAAGTGAAAAAGCTGTGCTTTATCATGAAAAGATTTACACGACCCGAAAAGAGATTCCTGGGAAAACAACAGTTGGCTGACACCGGTACTTACGAGAAAGTTCGGTCACAGTTTAGACATAACCTTTATAAGCCATTTGTATCCTCCATCTGATCATTTCATACATACATGGGAACACTTTATTAACACCTTTTGAATTAGAATAAAAGTCCAGATATCGTTTACGGGTATTTCAAACATGACTGCTTGATAATACAGTCAATACGTCTTCACAACGATTTCTGATAGATTAAATTTCTGGGAATTCATTTATGCAGGAAGCAAAGGATTACAAACATGGAATGTTTTAAACTTCTTACCTAGCCATTATCAAGAGTTTGATTTAATGAACCGCAAAAACCGCAGAGAGAACTGAGAGAAAATTCCTGCTACTAGAAAATAATGATAACAAATCAAAGTATCTACGCATCCATTTGACGCTGATAAAAATTAACGGTTTAGCAGTTACATGTGACATTCGACCCCCACGGTAATATGATTCTCTCTAAAAATTCCGATAGGCCTTTCCCATAACGGCAATCATTACACACAGTCTAGGTGGAAAGTATTTTTTTTATAGACTTCAGTTCATTCAGTATAAATAACAGTAAACTCTAAAATAAGATTCAGTATATTATATACAAACAAAAAGTTTCAAATCAATACAATGAAATGCAATCATTATTCCTTCGGAGTACTTTCCCTCGATACGCGTATTCGTTTCTTATCTGATTCAGAACTGTTGATGGTTAGGCGTTTACGACTAGCATTGTTACCGTTCAGAATGGTACTACTAGTGTTAGTATTATTAGTGATAGTTTCAGAAGGACTGTTGACTATTATATTTTGATCGCGCACAGCAGGTGTTGAATTAGCTTGTCTAGCTGCTAATTCAGCTTTAAGCCTACGTTTCAGTGTCACTTTAAGCGGTTCCAACCGTCTTGGTTCCACTTTCTGAATGTCATCCAAATCAACAACAGTTGAGATAGTAGGAATAAAAACAGCAGAAGTGGTAGAGGTGTTATTATGGGCAGAATTAGGGACACCTTTTGAATCCATAAGACCATTTGTCACAAAGATCGTATTCTCATTTTCTTCCTCTTCACTGATAGAACGTTTAGCCGAGGAATTGTCACCATCATTTTGTTTCCCTTCCGTAGATATTTTATCTGAGTTTTTATTCGTTCCACTTTTCTTCGTGAACTTCGAACCACCACCATCCAGCATAGGTCGATAATGTGGACCACAAATTTTCAAACCAAAATGATCTGAACATATCCATCGCACACTGAAAACTAGTGAAGAGTTGGTAACATCGTTTAAACTAGATTTAGCTAACTCCCAACGCTCACTATCTAAATTATCAACTTGTATACGATTATCGTTTGCATGTTCTTCACAATAGGAATTTGGACATCTCCAACATAAATGATTTGATGGATGACCGCATAAATCACAATAATGCCATGGACAGTACCATATACCAAAGGGTGGTACATATATACCAAGACAGTTTAAATGATATGACTTAGAGCATGTTGATTTATCGCACAATAACAATTCACCACCATCTCCACACCTGTAAGATAAACAGAAAAAGCCAGTTACCGTTGTTTAAACATCAAATAACGAAAAACTGTGCCATGTATCCATATTATGACTGAAAATTATTTATTTTGTGAGGGATATCAAAATAAAAACAATCTAGAGATGCCTAGCTCTAATTAACTTCAAGTCAAAGACTCATTTCACATTCTTTTATTCCTCTAACTTAAACAGTACCGAAATCAAATGGTATTCACCCCACTGGGTTTTAATCAAGTATGACACAAAAGTAATCCGCTCATCACTGGATTCAAATCTAATGAAATGGGTCCAATTCTTTTAAAATTATGTGACCAGTAGCTCTTTACTATATCCTACCTTTTAATGCTTTTTGTTAACGAGTTTAATACACAGAATCATTGATGATACAATTTAAAGCATCAAAGTATTAGGAATTTTCATAATCAATTAATCAAACTGAAAATTGATTCAGTGAATTAATAGTGCACTGAAATTTAATACACACTAGAGGTGTTAGAATCGATAGCTCATTGAAAACGTTTTTGAACCTGTGGTGGGGAGAAAAAAATTATGCTGTATGATGAAGTAACGATTAGTACTCGCGTGGATAGTATTCTCATCTCTGATTTTACTTAAGAATTATTTATACGAGTAAGATGAACGACCAATTAACCGACACGACTTCATGTACAGATGTCTGACATCAGTGCAAGTGAGTGAACCAAACAATGGTTTGTCGTTACAATACACTAAACACGGAGTAGGTTACGTAAACTTTTTTAATGAAAACCCCATTTACCTCCCCACCGTTTATCCGCGCTAAGTTGCATTTCTTGACTTCGACATCCTATTTATCTTTTTTTGGTATCTTTGGTATCAGAATGATACGCCATTTTCAATATAAATGAAACTATATGAAAATCCCGAATTCAATTGCAAAGACGTTGCAAACAAGAAGAAAACAACTTTTGAACGTTTGTGGGTTTTTATGGTACATCAGATGATAGAAGTGTGCGATGAAAACTTTTGCTAAATCAAAGTAGTTATATGATGCATACTTTTTCATCAATTAATTCGCTACAAATCACTCGACTGAATGATAATTCATCACACATTAAAGACTGACTTCAAGATGAATTTCTCCCAATTCTAATAGAAGACTGTAGTTTGCTAGATCTATGACATTGAGAATGAGAACCAGTACCTATCAATGACGATTTGAACTTGACAGAAGTTGAGATATGTAGACTGTCAGAATCGATCTTACTATCGACTGCGAAATCTGAAGATACTGAGCTTGGAAGCACAAAAGGGTCGTAGACAGAGGCAACTAGGGAGTTACAAGCGAGAACGAAAAAGTTGTTTAGTGGTCTCCAGTTACCAATGGTTTCCAAGTTAATGTCAGTTGGAAAAATGTTACCTATTTCTAAATTAATTATTTGAAATAAAGTAAGTTCTGTCAAAAGAGGCATAATAAGCTGTCATCACACAAAAAGAAAAAAATTATCAAGTCATTTACCTGTAACAAAAGTCTTCATGCATAGATGGGTTAAAGCCAACAATAGATGACTCTGAAGTAGTTTCTAAATTCAATTGTGATAAGTGATTTGTATCACAACTTTTCAGATTTGAAGATGATGCAACTCGCGCAGCAACTGCTGCTGGACTGATAAGCGGTGCACGATTACGCTGAGTAGAAAGCTGAGAAACTGCAGCCGACAAGATAGACGTGACTGAAAGTGTTGAAACTTCACAAGATTTTGTGCTAATTAGAGATTTCGATTCAGGTGATGTTTCTGATGAAAAAGTCGATTCATCAAGTATTTTCGATTTTCTTTTATCCAACACTTGTAAGCTTTGCGAAAAATTATTAATGATTTCCTCATGTAACTCAAATGATGTTGGTAGACGTAATGTACTTATGCAAGTATCAGCTCCACATAAACATAGACTACTGAAAGCCATTAGACCCGTTGAGAGAAACTGACCACAAATATAATTAATAGTCAGTTCTTCATTAGCTTCTATGAGTCGACTAGCAAAAAGCCCTAAAAATTATAGATACACAGTTTAAGGATGTTTTAAAGACAAAAAGCCATAATATTCATCAGAATATAATACATAAGAAATAACCACTGCTAAGCAACTTACCAAGTCGTGGATAGCCATCAACTGTCCAACATTCAGCAACTAGATTCGGTTCACATGAATGATTAATAAATCTGCTCAAATTCCCATGATTTCTAGCATCAAGTACTAAATTCAACTGTGAACTAATACGTGCTAGATAAGTTTCAGAGAGCGGCTGAAAACCTTTGCGTGATGAAGTAATACTGGATAATACGTTCGGTCCACCAAGAGCTTCAATAATTCGACGATTAGCTTCTGTTACGTCAATTACTTCCCCTGAATATTCTATAACTAAATCACCCTAAAATCAAACACAAAAACAGTCAACTTTGTTAGAAAATCATGTACAACATTTCATTCCTACAATTACTATTGACATATCATTATATCATAATTAAAACAATTAGTTCATAAGTTGATTTAATGATCAGTGTTATAATAATTCTGTGGATAAGAAAATATGTGGACAACTATTGATATGATCAGATATGAAACAATATGAGATTGTTATCCGAATGGCTAGTGAAGTGAAATCTGAATACTAATTCAAGTATTCATTGTTATAAGCATCCAAGATGAGGCGACCCAATTGACATTCTGATACATTATGAATATTTGTGAAAATATTTAAATTGGTGCAGAAACTGAGAAGTAAAGGTTTGTACAACTAGCAATCTTGCTGTAGTCTTTCGTCAGCTGTAACTGCTGAGTAGTTACAATTTAAAAAAAAACAACTTTATAGCGTACTAGAGCTGCGAATGGTTTCTAACTGAAGAAAAAAAACTAACCAATATCTCTCAAGGTTGATAATAGCAATTTATGAAGCTTTTTTGAGAAATCTAATGACTATTGTTACTTTCTTTGATATCTTTGATTTTGAAAAGGTAAAATATCATACTATGACAATGTTTACACTCAGCATATTCTGCAGAGGTGGAAATGATACGACTCATGATTTCTAGGACATGGACTTTGAGAATTTTTTTTTCTTCCAATTCCGATTAACTTATGTAATGGGAATTACATATAATGAAGGTTAGCGACTAACACATCTCATACATTTTCACATAGTAACAAACACTCAAAGACCTAATACAAACACTATAATCGTTCATTCAATATAAATATAACAATCTTCAAATAAAAATGTGAACTCGTCGAACAAACAAACTGAATAATTTACCCTTTATCCCTCAATTGAACCGACATAATCGACAAAAACCGTACATGTATCAGTCTCAAAATGAAGGAAGAAAGTCTACCACTATTAAACAAAATTTGACGGAATAAGAATGCTTGACCAGGTGCATTTATTTCATATAAAAACCTGACAGAATTAGTTAAGTTCGAAGATATTCACATGAATATAAAACCTCCGAAATGCCCAAACCTTGGCAATACATTGAACCGAAACAGACTTAAAACAGGAATAGTTTGAGCAAACGATTGTTTTCAATAACTTCTTCTTCAGGTTCCATAGTTACAAATCCATGAGAATAAGTGAAATACAATAGCCAAAATTATTATTATATTGAAACAGTCAGTGTTATAGGTGAATGGGAAAGTGGATTGTGCAATGAAATCAATAATGACAAAACAATTACAAACTGAGGAGACAAAATCTACAGATAATGATCCATTTATATACATTTACTGGGGCATAAATGTGTATAAGTGTGTTAATTAACTTAGGGTCAAATAATAATTATGTAGCGATGACTTATATTCAAGTGGGGTGAAAATCATGCGAATACTGTAACGAAACACAGAATAAAAAAAATGTGAATTGTCACGTCACGGTCGAAAATGACTACCGGTAATGGCATGAATAAAGGGTATAAAACTAATAACATAACATTGTAGCTATATATAGCTGAAACAGTTCACACGTCTTTCTCACGTCTCAGAAACTGTTAGTTCTAGTCTCAGACATGAGAAAGACGTGTGAACTGTTTCAGTCTCATGACGCCTTGGATACTGACGATACTATCATGGTTCATTATTTCTCCTGTTTTTTTGTTTGACATCATATAATGAAGCTGAACTACTCTGGGAATAACTATCTGTATATTTATAACTTGATAAATCACGTATTTTACCAAGACTCCATTCCCTTTAATTTTTATTGAACTGCTGGGAAAGGGTGAAATTACGACTTTATTGTTTATGATACTATTATTATTAACAATACTTACTCGCTACTATCATTTCACTTGAAAATGCTATACAAGGTGTAAATTTGTCGCAATATTATGCGATGAAAATTGCATATTGCACCAAAAATGTTGACTAGAACAACGTGATCATAGTTATTATCACCATATTCGAAGTTAGAAAATGTCTACAGCTAGTGAACCAGTGTTGTAGGTATGTCAGGAGCTATTGTTAATTATACTAACTGAACCAGGATATGTAGAACAGTGCAGCTTCCCTGGTTTCAGTCTACGATGGAAATGAAATAGACAATAAGAAACTGAAAAATACAGCTAGAAGTAAGTGCAGTATCGTCATGATTCGCTTTATTTCGTTTTCTCTTATCATGATAGCTTTTTAGGTATAAACTCCCTCTTCTAAGGATGTTTTTTAGGTCTTTTCTAGTATTAACATTCATCTTAAAAGTACTCACCATGTGAATTGTGATAACAATTGTACCAGGTCGGATAATGCTTATGTCCATTCTTATAACTGAAAAGCACTTACTATTAGATCACATTTGAATTAAATAAGTTAAACTACTGAACACAACTTTTTTGTTTTTCCAACCGAAAAGTGCTACTAAGAAATTGTCTTTTTTCACTATTTATCCAAACTGTGCAATTCTCGATATCAGATTAAAAAACACAAAGAGGATAAAGGTATTCAAAATATTATTTTACATTTCTTTTTACTAACTTGTTTAAATGATACTAGAGATTTCAAACCATATCCTCGATTAATAGTACGTTTAACAGTAAATGCATTCTTATTCTGATCATTCGATGTATTACTCCTCGAAAAGAATCTTCGATTGCCACAGTCCATATCATGAAATGAACAAATCTTCGGTGTACATTCAAATCTATTCAAAAAATGATGACACTGATTACTGGTTGAACATAAACTGGTTGAATTATCAAGATCAGGATCAGATTTACAAGAACACACGGTAAGTGACGCATAAGCTGCTTTTGTTTGTCCAATCTAATAAGAAATAAACACAAAATAAATGTTGCACTATTTATACGCATTTTCCACGTTAAAAACTACTTTTAAAACTGTGATGTACAAAAAGATTACTATATATATATTCGAACTCCGCTCCACCTCTTGAAGTTTTTACATCCAAGCTCGTTGCCCACTGTATGAATGTGAATAAAGTGGCTGAGTGCGTTTCGTTTCGTTCATATATTCCAAATGATAATAATATAACAACCTATTTTAAGTGAAAAATTAAAGATCCTTACTTTTGTTAAACATTCATCAGAATAGATATTTGTTTCAATTAGCGTAAAACTATTTAATACACTTGATAACTGGTTATCTTCAGCACTAGGTTCAATTGTTGTATTCACATTCAATATATTCAAAGGTAGTAATTCATCTTCTGGCAGTTGTTCAGCATGCATTGAATTCAAAGGCAGACCTTGTCTTAACACATGATTTACATATAGAGCATGTGCTTTCGGAGCTCTATGTAGTGCTAAAAAGTGAAAAAAAATCAAATAAAACTTATACAGTGAAACTATCTTTTTCGCTTTTTAGAAAAAGAAAAAGCCTAGAAAAGCCACTTGCAATTTTGTTAGTTTAAGCCTACGTTTGAAATGTTTCACTAAACCAAATGCATATTCGCACCCGGATAACTGAAAATTACTGAACATATAAAAACTTGCATTGTCTGAACAAATGACGATATCGAGTAGAAAAGTTTTGTTTTGTTTGACGACAGTTGGGAATGATTACGCAGAGAAAAGATTTGCTGAGGCTTTCATGACCAATAAATTAAAACATTAGAATTGGTGGGGTTGGAATCAGCATTTTGAATTATGTACTTTGTAAGTTGGTGGAAGCAATGAAGTTAATACTTGGAATAAAAAACCTGACGGAAGGCTATTTATCAAGGCGAATAACTTCTACATACTTTATGTCTGGCTATTTATAGGAAACTTTCCAATCCTTTGAAAACAGATGAGATTAACTAATACTTGACTTGAACAGCGTTATCATCCCATCAATGAAAACTTCATTCCCAACCTTAAACAAATAATTTTACTTAGATTTAAGCTAGTTCCTGTGATGGTGGTGAATTAGAATGTGCTAGGATAAGACCGATACCTACATGGATCAGTCGACTAATCATAACTGATACAACTGTCAGTGCTTGGTGACTGTATGGTATCCTTGACGTTTGCAATACGGTCGATAAGTCAGTGACATAATATTGTACTTGCACTGGAATTTCGATTGTATGGAATAAAATCAATATTACTATTATTATTATGAAGTGCATCGCTGTACACGATTGATTAAGGTTTCTTTTGTTATGACTGAGATAACTTCATTTCAACTTTTTTAAACACATACACACACACATACAACTCATTCCTTATTGTATTATTATTATTATCATTATTATTTGTCCTATGAGTTCCTAGTGGAAAATAGGGCTTCAGTAGCTATTTCCATTTCACTCTCTTCTCTACAGTCTTTTGAGCCTGGCGCCACGACTGCCCAAAACCTTTCATTTCTTCCTCATATGATATCCATATCACCCTCGGACGCCCAACTCGTCGTTTCCTACTTGGATTCCATTCGAGGCCCTGGCTCGTGATGTCTTCTCAGTGTATGCCTAATCAGTCTCCACTTCCTTCTACTGCATATTTGTTGGGCGATAAGCTTCTTGGTTGGTTCGTTGTCCACCAGTCAGAGTTCCTTGTTGCTTATTCTTATTATTCTGGCCATCCGATCTTCAGTAACGAGCCAGAGTAGGCCAGCTGTTGATGAGTGTTTGTATTTTGTTGGGGATCCCTTTCGTAACGCGCCAAATTTCTGAACCATATAAAAGCACTGACTTGACTGACATAGGTGTTGAAAATCCGGATCTTGTTATTTATACTGGGTGCAGTAGATCTCCACACTGGTTTCAGACTAATGAACGCCTGTCTTGCTGTCTTTCCGATCCTGGCTGGCTTTGACATTCTCGTCTGTGTCGCCTGTAGTTCAAACGGGGCTGCCTAGATGGGTTAAAGAGACTACTTCCTTTAAGTTTCTCCCGTTGATAGTGATCGGTGCTTTTGACTGTTGTTGTTTGTTAGGTATCTTCATCACCTCTGTCTTCTCTACGTTCACTTGAAGTCTCGTCTTCGCTGCCTCGCCTCTTCTGTCAACTTGTTGATTTTTGCCTGTAGATCTTCGAGTTTGTGCGACACTAGACATGAATCATCGGCGAAATCCAAATCGTCTAGGGTCTTTTCATCGGCCTAGCGTATGTCCATCTTCTCGCTCCTCAGGGTTTGCTGCATGATCCAGTCGACCACAATCATTCCTTATTGTATATAGTGCTAGAACTGTTTTCGTACAAACTATTAACAAATATGATGAACGTATAAAGTGGAGTGGAAAGTAAACTGTTAAAATAACAAAGGATAGTTAACTAAGGTAATTTTTAATCATATGATAGTGTTAACTGTTATCTACCTCTTTTACCTATATCACTTAATCCCCTTAAACAAGATATTAAACATAAGTGGATTAGATTACATTTTAAACGCAAACATGTTTCTGGATAGAAAAAAACACTTAGCCATTAACTATTACCGTTTATTTTAGGAGACTGACAAGTGGATATTAAAGCACTTCACTGAATGTTATTCACTGAGCTTAGATAATAAGAGTTATACGTAAAAGTATGAGAAGAAATCACATTATATCAAGGTTTTGTAACGGCGGTGACTTACAAAAACACTTAACCAAAATAGGTAGATGATATGCGAAAATTAATTAATTAGTTATCATTTGACTGTCTGAGATTTTCAGATTTTCATCTCACCTTCAGTCATCACCCAGTATAATTAATTAGTAAATTTATTTTGCAAGCCATATAGATCATACGACTCCAAAGTTGATCATACATACTTCGATTCTACAATTAACATATAATTGTTGTAGGATGCCCCTATGTTCCACTAGGAACCCAAGGGACTAATAATAAATAATAATGTTGTAGGATGCACTGAGGGAACATTCTTATTCCCTGAAATGCTAGCTAATTTGACCGTATCAGTGACCAGAATGAACGATACATACTCTTATGTGATCAAATAGTATATTAATTGAACACAAAGCACTATTGGCATATAGGCTCTTGTCGCCAATCGGTTCATTCAACAACGCAGATTCCAAAACTGTAACATCAAAGACTACAACATATTCATCGTACAGTGAATGGCTATCGTGACTCAGCAACCTAGTAGATAGCGCTTTGGGGTTTGAAGCGATCGGTTCTAGGTTTGAGTCAGAATGGAAATAACACCCACTCACTGGGTGCAGGTACATCAAACTGACGAGTCCCAACTGGGACGGAACGCGCGTCCTGGATTCCTTTGCTAGCCACTATCCATAACTAATATTATGATGCTTTGTGATCTTTCACTTGCACACTAAAACAAAATGCGTGTAAGTGTATATGCATTTCCCAGAGAAACATTATATATATATATATATATATATATATATATATATATATATATATATATATATATATATATCATGTTGCTGCCTACTGGCATATTTTGTAAAACAACAAATACAAACAATGCACACTGAGCTGTTCATTTGGTTTACAGGCACTTATTACAGTGATATTTATCAAGAAGTTATTGAAAATCAATAAATATTTAACAAGAATATTAGTTTAGCTCAGGACTTCTCAGTAGTGTGCACTCAAATAATTGAACATAGAATAACCAACTCTCAAGATTGCCTGAGTATGAGATGAATTTCTCGAAATTATGATGGGAAATTACAGTCTATGAAATCAATCAAGTTGAGATGTCGAGGAACAACTGTAAGAGCAAAACTTGAGCATTGTGATAGAGTATAAATCTATATTATCTTTTTTACTTGACATAGCATACAGTACTGCGATTGTAAGCAGCAGTGTATCATTGTGTACTATATCAAATAACAAATATATGTAGAATAACTATCTCACCATGCAGCAAATGGAGGAAAATCAGAAAACTTGGACTATCGAATCATAACTCAATAATTGAAAGATATAGTATTCACCATAAAAAAAGAAGGTATCGGGTCTAGCTCCAAAGGTTAGTGGTCACATGGCGCGGAGGAATCCCGAGCGAGAACTATAACAATGCCCCAAATCCAAATGATTAGTTAGTCTATGATAAGAAGTTACCTTCAAACCAATAGATTACACAGATATCGCTTATGTGAACAAACATTTACAAGAATTGAGTTCAGTTTCAAAGAAATGGTATCTATACTCATGTATAAGTTCGATCATCCATTTGCATCTAACCTTAAATACTCAATTATATGTGAATTTGACATTTGCAAAAGAAACATTAGATACTTTGTTGACTGGCAACTCATTGTATTCGTAGACAAATACTGAAGTAACCTCAATAACTACATAGAATAAATGAATTTATTACGTGTAAAATAAAACTTCATTTGTTTCTTATTGAACCTACATCGAGAAAAGGCCTTTTCAATCTTATTTGATCCACTTGTTTCTTTTGCTGAAGTTGTTTGTAAACCGATTTCATATGGAAATACACGATTACGACTAATCCATTGGTATTCTTCAGAACCAAGAAAATGTACGGGAAACGAACCCTCTGGATGAGCCATATTTAATATATTGATAGGAGCATTCCGAGCATGAATTATTTCACAAGGCCACCAACGAAATTGTGGTATTTTCGCCCAGATTATTTGAGCATATCTTGGGAAAAAACCGCTTCTGGAAGAGGACAGAAAAGAAGGGACACTCACTGTAATAAGAAAAATATCACCGTTCAAAAAGTCAGAACACTGACCGTACAGAAATAAGAAAGATAATACAAAGCATCAATGTGCCATATACCAGCATACTGAGGTGCAAGTCAGTGAGAGGGAAAGAGAAAGTTATTAGGCCTGCCGTTTTAAAAAGTTATAGATAGTCAAAATCAATAAGGGACTTTGCACAGCAGCGCATCGGTTCAAGCTGCCACACCTCATCATGCAAAGTGCAAGTGGGTAGAGAAGAAGTTGTATCGAGATAGACAAAATGTATAGTAGAGGAAAGAAGTAGAAAAACAAGAATAGTGAAAATATCTACGCTTCAGAAGAAGTCCAAGAGTGAACACATATGCGCCATTGCGACCAATTTCTGCCATGTCAACAAGCCTCTAAACACCGACTCATCGGGGTCCCCAGCCAGGTAGTCTACACCAACTGCACGGCTCAGGCCTACAGTCACAGACTTCATGAACTGATGCTACGCCTTGTTCTAGCAAATCGTGAGCTTTCTTTCAAACTAATTCAAGTTCAGTCAACAGCGGACCTCACAGTGAAGTTATAAGACAAGGTGAAAAGGAAAAAAGGGATACAAAACTGTCACGCAAAGTTTTTTCCCTTTTACAAACTGAAGTGGTGAAAGGTCTAGACCTATGGTGTGACGGTACTATCTGTAATTTGCATACACATCCTAGTAACTCCAACATTCCATTTAGTTATTTCCCAACTTCCTCCTTAAAAACCTCTGGTGGAAAACCGCCAAGTCCTGCTGCTTTGCATCATCTCAGGTTTGAAACATCATTATCAAATTCGAGGAGAGTTGGAAAACCAACATCTGCGTTCCAATCAGATTTGAGCTGGTACGACCATAGACCAGCTCAACTGTCTTCCAGGGTGTCGCCGAATTTTCCAGTTGTTTGTCCTGAGATGTTATCAGGGACCCAAACTTTACAGGGATCGACTCACTATCCTTTTTCTTGCTAGGATCCTTAGTAGGCGTAAATAGTTGACGAACGATATCTAATTTCTATGCTTTCTCTATCTACTTCGCTACCCATCATTGCTCGCTGTCATTACCGGAACTCTTAGTCAACTTACTTTCATTTGTCTCCCCTACTTATTGTGTTTAGAGCCAGCTAGAAAGATCCTGTTTGCAGCAATCAATTTGGATGAGGCTGCCGAAATTCACTGTACTTCGCTAACCTTTGAATGTCTATACTGCTATGTATTTGAGGTTAGTGCAAACCGAAACCAAGTGATTGTCAGTGGGAAATTGTAAGAGGTTATCGAAGCAGTCCACTCAACGGCATGAAATAACATATCCCAAATACGCTATCTTGGTTGATTCAGATTCTCCAGTTGAGCATTGGAGTTGTCCGCTACTGTAACTATAGCTTAACCTTTTGGTTTATGTAGCCAAATTATCGGGTTTCGGTAGAACTCATTCTTTGTATCATACGAACTGCAGTTGATGGCAGTGTAGGTGGGTCACTAGCAATAGTTGAAGAGTGAGTTGAGGAGGCTGTAGTAGGTCTAATTTTAGTATCAAAGAGTGAAGAAAAAAGGGACAAGAAAGACAAGAAAACCAAGCAATGGTTAGTAGGGTCTTGCATACTGCTGGGGGTTTGTAGGAGGTTTGTAAGTCCCGGTTTTCAACATGGTAGTTTCTTTAGCGTACCTGAGAGGGAAAATAAGTTGGTTTTTTATGACTGTAGAGTTCATGGGACATATGCTTCGGGCCTTTTCAAGGTTGTTAGATTGGGATTTGATAGTGCTGGGCACCGGCATAGAAAGCTTTACGCCCTGGTACCAAAAAGCTCTACTGCAGGCATAAGTGTGATATTCTTGGGGTCGAACTTTTTGGACATCAGCATGAACTGCTGGTCATTCATGGGAAACACCTCACTGCTGTCACACCTCTTCCAACAAGTAGTACGCCTTCGCACTACAACTCTCATCATAATGTAACCTATTAAGACTGTAACGATAACTGTATTTAGTTTTCTTATCATCCAACAGACTTTTGTGGCATAGTAATACCCTCAAAGAATAACCGTTTCAACTAGTATACCTCACTGGGTTATTGCAAAATGAAGACTCGACCACTACATCAAGTACCAGCTGTTGTGGCAAAATTTGAAACCCTTCTTACCCCTTTAACAACAACATTATGTAGTAACCAAATAGTTTCAATATTTTTTCTTCATCTGAAAGCTCAAAAATTAAACGCATTAGAATCACATTGTTGGTAATATTTTGAAGGAAAACTCACAAAAGTATTAAACAGAGAAACAAAAGAAACTCACCGACAAGACCGACATGTAAATTTATCATCAGTTAAAGAACCAAACGACGGTTGAAAACAATCTTTGTGATACGTAGTCGGACAGAATTGACAGTCAATCTATTCATTTAAATGAGAAATTTAAAAATACGAAATGTTTATTGGTTTAAATGTGTGCGGCCACATAAATTTTTTCCACTGTGCTACTGTTTGGTTAAGGTTGAGTACCAAAATATGAACATACGTAGAAGCATATCACTTGTTGAAATATATGCGTAGCATGTATACTTAAAGTAACAGGTAAAAGAAGTGGTTAACATCAATACCCAAAACGTGTGCACTTTTTTAATCATCAGATGGAGTACACAATGAATGACAGTTTACACATAATTTAATAGTCTCAGGAAAAAACAGATGGAGAACATTGATCGACAGTAAAGTCCTATTAACTAGTCATTACCGATTGTTTTCCGACTCCCGCTATTTGTGTTGCCTTTTTAGTAGTTAATTTATATCTATTTACACGGCTCTTTCATTAGTTTGCATTTTCGTTACTACTTCTCCCACGATTTACTGATGATAAGAATCTCAATTTGTTAGTGTGCTCCGGTGCTGAATGGTTTACGAGCGAATGACTCAGAAGGACATAAAGATATTTAGTTTGAAAGTGCGAATTTTATTATTTACAATGCTTTTTTTGAAGATGTAGATTAGCTATAAATCAAAACCAGAGGACACTTCTTCCCTCTCATTCGACGTGTTGGTGAAGCTTTTACAATGTTACTGATGGAACAACTGACTGTATACTGGAAGTTATAAGCAAACTTAGAGCAAAATCTAGTGTTAACATTGCCGAATAAGAACGAAAACAATGGTTAACATCGAATTAATGTAACTAAAATAGTTAGCCGATATATATATATATATATATATATATATATATATATATATATATATATATATATATATATATATATATATATATATATAGAACAGCATAAATGAAACAAATATCGACAAAACGTACGCGTTCCGCTCCAGATTTAAAACAATGGAAACACCAATTCGGGTGTTGCGTTTTAAAATTTGATAAACCTAGTAGAGATTCATCGAAATGCCTTGGGCATACAATATGAGATAGCGAAACTTCAACCGAACCAGCTGGTGTACATAAATCACCTGTATGAAATACTGCTGGACATCTAAAATAACAAGAAGGACACTTAGTAGAATTACTGATGTCCACGTATAAATACAAAATTATAATGCCACTTTGTATACTACTTGGCAGTAGTAAGCAACGAAGAGGAAAGGAAAATAAAATTTGTGCACACGAAAATTGTAGATGTTTGACGAGTTATGCGGTTCTGACATAACCCTATCGTTATATAATTCCCAGGATATCAGAGGCATTTCGTTGGACAAGGTGAATGTTTTACTGGACAACCCTTACGTTGAACGACTAAGTAAGTTGAGTCAGATTGTGTCTACTAGTATCAAGTAGACATTCATTGCCTCCTTCGGAACCAATACTTAAAAAGATTACCATACAAACACTCCTTGTCGGTAAAGAACATAGTGAGCATGAGGTGCTAGTAAGCATCTTTTTTCTACACCTTGATCTAAAATAAAGATGTTTAAAATGCAATTATAAACCTAATGTCAACAGACAGTCATAATAAAGAACTAATTTTCCACTAGAATTCATGAGGAAACACTCATACCTTTAGTTTTCCAAAGGTGTTTATTTTACACCATTTTACAAATGGTGTGAAATCGTTAGCTGCACTGCTGATATCTAGCATGTTGTCATTCAGCTTAATGTGACACTAGATTAAAAACATTGCAATAAATGAAGAGATTACTTCGAATTAAGCTAAAAATTACTTATTTCACCCACCGTTTTAGGGGAATCATGACCACTTATGTGGGCTAGGGAACGTTAAAGCTTACATAGCAATATGCTGGATACCGGCAGTGGTTAGCTGTTGTTATTAAGAAAATATGGACAAAATGCATAAGGTAGTAAAACTATTATAGAATGAACAGTTACAATCAGAATGAACTTTCTTTAGTATCCTAAGTAACAATAATAGGTCGTTATGCTTTTGTATTTATTTCGTAAAATGAAGGATGGCAATCATTAAGAACATGATGTGTATCCCTGACCGTATGAAGATTATGAAGCACTAAGTTACTGAATACCTAAGTCACATAACAGAATATGCACAGAGAACGTTATTTGTAAAAAAAAAAATGATTTACCGAACACATTCTAAAAGTGGTCCTTCACAGTGGCTTGATTTTCTGATATGAGAATCAGTTTCACTGGATTCTAGATAGCAGGTATTACAGGTATGAGCAGGACAACGAAGAATTTGAAAAGTTGCAGTTCGTGCAACTACATTATCTGAAGGTCTTGTAAGAATTCCAGGCCACCCAGAGAGACATTCTCGATGAAAATGCCTACCACAATTAATAACCTTAAAAATTGAAAGCATAAACTCAAATGTTTAATTACGTCAAGGTAGATTTATTATGATGTTCTCAATAAACATTCTTTTTCTAATTGTAAGTTATTGAATATACGCAGAACTGCACACAGTAAGCTGAAGTTCTCAAGATACTGATAATCGATACTTACGAACTCTCGATGACATAGCTCGAAATCGCTTGGAGAGGTGAAGGCGTATTCATTCTTCAACATCTAAATTTCGAACGTTTTATTCAGTCCTTCGTACTCATTCGCCTACTCTTTACATTTTTTGATTTCATTTTATTATCTTCCTCTGTTATGTTATTTCTTGGATGTGCGGATTTGCTGCAAACTGAGGCGCTGTACTTTTGTGAGGTACTACATTACTCTCTCTGCATTTTATATCACGCGGTGATCCACGTGTAGAGATTGACTTAGCTGGAACTGACTCTGAAACTGCGGTAAAAACTTCCTCTTTTTATCTTTTTATTTACAGCACATGTGCAAACCACTAACTAAACAGTTTTTTTGAAAATTCCCAGTTCTACTTATTAGAAAAACTGAAGTTCAAGCCTTCAGACCCACAATTACTAATTGGTTCCATTACGTGTGATTATCTCATCTTTATACAGTTTTCTGAACATATAGTTATTGTGTGTATCATGAGAATATCAATCAGGTTGTTTCTAATGACAACAATAATTTTTTTTATGATTCTTTCAAAGTACTAATTGATTCGTGTGTATGTACCAAGATGAGTTGGTACTTATAGGAAGAAAATGATCCGCTGATCAAAATAAAATACCTTACGAACTAATTCATAGAAAAGTTGACCGTACTTATTAGTAGTAATCTGTATTTGATCTTATATATGAAAGCACATTTGGCTTGTTCACTTCAAATAAAAACTCAACACTTTTTGCATACAATTATGAAAAGAGACGAAGAGGTGATTCAAATATAATTGCAGTAGGTAGAATGAATGACTCTAAAGACTAGCCTAACAACTGCTGCGATGACAAACTGCGTTCCTCTATTTTGTCAATAGCCACTATCCCAACCAAAATAACTAAACATGATTGGCTATTTTGGTTTTTACTAGGGTGATCTATGGAGTCACTAACATAGAATAATGCTCAGGTGTCGCTTTCAAGTAATGGATCTCAGGCTCCAGCCCGGATTAGGCCTAAACATCAGGGTAGATTTATATCAATAAAGTACAATGGTTTGAATAACTGACACTATCAACCACAAGCTTACGGAGTTCAAACACACTCCGACTACTTTAAGTTAAGAAAATCGCTATTGTCACTAACCCTCCTTACATACCATTTGTCAAAGTTTGATGAGTTGTCTGAAAAATGCACCCTTAATATGACGAGTTAAAAAAACAGAAATGCGCATCCTGGATTCCACTGCTAGCCACTGCCCATCATTACTAAACAGATAATACTTACAAATAATGCTGATGAGTGACTCTAAAGATCACCCTAGCAACCACTGAAGTAACTAATTAGGTCTCTGCATTTCTGTTGGGAAGGTAGTTGCTTCTTAAAATAGAGAAATGCAACTGGTTATTTTAGGAGTTGCTAAGGTAGCCTTCTGAGTCACTCATGCAAGATTTTTTATGAGACAGAAAGACGCAACTACCTGACACACATACAGCTGACCAGCCCCATCTTTAGATCCTGTTTCGCTTGGCTTGCCGCAGATGGAACACAGGAACTCACCAGTAAGGCACTGAGGACAACGAAATTTTTCAGGACGGCTGTTATCTATGTGTATGAAAGATAAGGATAAAAAACGGATTATGATAGACAGTGGGAGGCAACCAAGTAAAAAGATAGCACACATTAAAAAACGGGAGGAAAAATTAGTTAACTTTGCTAAACTTTATGTACCAGATTGTGAATCACACAGTGTGAACGACAATGCTGTTCAGAATAAAGCATCAGAAGTGGTTCGAAACAGATTACTCAGTATTTGAAGGTAACATGTCTACATAACACAGTGACAATTCTACTTCACGATCTAATATCTTTCATGAAGCAGAGAGAAACATGTTTAGGTTTGTGCTTTAGTTATAACAAGTTGATACAAATAATCTAAATTACACAAAACAAACGGCTGGAGAAGTGGATAACACGCTTAACTCATTTTAAGCACAATAATATAGTAAATTGTTGCAGTATACTTGAAGGAGTACCTAACTGCTTTCGGAAATTGATTTTCAGTCAGTGAGTCACCGATTCTAACTCCGCTATACCTACGGAAGGAACAAACAACCATGAAGTATCCATAAGTTCTCCCAGTAAATGTGTAGCCTATTGTACGAACTTGTGCACTGCCTCTGAGACATAGATTAAACTGTTGATAACAAATGAAAAAATACATAAGATTCAAGGGGTTTTAACAACAAATCTAACGATACTATGTATAAATGAATGAACGACAGAGCCCTAAATGGTGGGAAAAGAATATGTAAGAACATTTGAACGTAGGAAATTAATTTTAATAAAGATAACTACAACTCTCAATAATTAATGCTAGTTTAATTATTTTAAGCGAAGTGAAGCTTCTTCGTACGCAAGCCCTCCAAGACATAAAATCAATGTCTACTTCATACTTGTATTCGAAAGTAATTCCTTAAAGTTTTCGCAAATTACCTAGCACACCTTGAGTGTCCTTTCTGTGATGTCTACAGAACACTGATCATTTTCATAGTTTTTCCTATACGTTTATGCTGTTGGCTTTAATAGCGTCACAAGCACTGTAACTATATTTAAAGGACATTTTGTACTCCACAGTAAAACGTTTATATTTTATGCAACTTTACAGATAGGTTGAGGGAGGAAGTAACCGACCATTCATTTATACATTACACTTACATCTAGGTGAATGTACAAATTCGAAAAATCGAAATGGACACTAGTGCGATAGGCAATGAGTCTCACTTATTGTGCGAGGGTTAATGGTCGGTAGAGCGGGTTTCGAACCAGTGACCCACTGGTACGAATTATTGTGAAACAAAATCCGCACCCGCAACTTAAGAAATAAGTATAAGCGCAGAAAAAACTAATCCTTCAATAGAAACACTCAGAATAATCACAGTATTGTTTAAACTCAAAACTGAATATTTGCATTTGACACTTTTTGGATGTTTATGAATAGCAGAGAGGCATATTCACAAAAGAGTGAATATTCTTTAACGGAGACAAAAGAAGGAAGACTAATTTTAAGAAGACTTTGGCAGATAAAATCTTTAACGTCTTAAACATATTGATGTGAAATTTTCACAAAAAACACTTCGGGTTAGCGACGAGGAGACAAATAGATGTAGAACCTAGAATAGAAATGAGCTGGTTCGGGCTGCTACACTTCACAACATGCCAGAAAAAAAATAAGAAAAAGTGAAACTTAAGTAAATAAAAGAGTAAGGCGAAGGAGAGTAGATAGATGAAGACCGGTTAAAATATTCGAAAACTCAGTGGTAAAACGTGTAAGCAACTGCGCCATAGTGACCGATTCGGAGTCGTATCATTGAGTCTCCCATAAGTGATTTCTATATTCTTGATGACCACAACCGGACAATCTGAACCTCTTTAAAAAGGGTATACCAAAAGTCTAAGATTTCATGGACTAGTGCGATGTTTATGCTCTATCATCCTTAGTCGTCATCCAACATAGCTTTGTTTCGACTGACAGTAGGAGTCAACGAAAGTGGTGGCTTGGACATGTGTTACACAAGACGAAACCCTCATTTACTGGTGTTCAACTCCATCGACTGTCTACTTTTGCCTGCCTAGTACCCAAATGCAAACTGTTACTCCAGGACTAGTCTGCATTGGCAATTCGCGTAACAAAAGGGGGAAAAATAGTTATGTGCATTCACCACCTCAATTACTTGAGAATTTGGGTCACGCATAGTCGATCAGTCACCAACAAAATCCCTGCTTGGATACAAAAGGCTCTCTGAACCTTCTCCACCTTACACCATTTATGGCACTGTCGCGACATCTGGTCGGCTTTGCGTTGCAGTCCACTCTTCTCTGCAATATGGATGTGAAACGTGATCATTGAAATTAGAGGGAACACGGAGGCTTCAGGTGTTCGGCCATCGTTGCTTTCGTAGCATAGGTCGTGTGTCGTGGCGCCACCACGTCAATAACATGGGAACCAAGTGTAGAGTTTTAGGGAGAAGAGGAAAGTCAGTCAAACTTCCATCGAGTGAGATGATTGGGATGTGTGCTGAGCATGCCTAGCTAATGTGTCTCATCGCACGATATTAACTGAAGTAGGTTCAGACCGAAAAAAGGTTAGAGGTGGTTAGACTGAAACATGGCACCACTGCACGAAGTTTCTGACTGTCTGTCTGAGCTGGGCAGGGGAATGTAGACCCTCCGTGTGGTCCGTGTGACAACCGAAATAGATGGTTGAAATCTAGGTGATATGACTCAGAATCGATGTCAGTGGTGCAGATGTATCCACACATTATCTTCATCTCAATCGTAATCCCTTAAATTCAATATTCTCTCATTCCTTCTTGCTCCCTTTTCATCAATTTCGGTTGCTTTCTTCTTTATCTTTCACCTTGGTGCATTCCTACTAAATGTGGTGATATCGCTTTATTTCCTATGCTTACAGTAGGGGGCGTAATGCTGACTAATGATACACTGCTTAAAGAGTTGAGAAGACTCAGTATCTAGTCAATTTTTCATACGCTTGTTTGCCGGATATAACACAGAATGAAACATCTAATAAACGAACACAGTCCAGCAATAGTAATTTCGTCTCACTGTAATAATGGTTAGGCTTGAAACAAAATGGAATTATAATACTACAAGCTAGTGAAAAATCACAGCCTATATCGGGAAAAGCCATTTTACGGATTTAAAGTGAAAACGGAATGTTTAATTTTCAATAAATATATTATTTATGTACCTGATGGAGGTGGGTTTTTATATCGCATACAATGTGGATGCACAACTCGACCACATGGACCACGACACTGAAACATTTGACCTGGAATATTTGAATAAACCTCACACACTGGACAAACTGGTTGTAAGCGATATTGAGCTGGTGATACAATCAATCGATGGATTTCGATATCAAATTCTTGTGTTTCTGACTGTTGTTTTCTTGGCTCTGATTTCTAATATTTAAAGTAAAGTATGCAATAAGAAATAGGGGAACGCCAAACAGTATTTAAATCATAAATACAAATATTAATGTAAATTGTAATTCAAATTTGTGAAGTTTAGTTATTGGTTTGTGTCTTTCGTTACTAGCATAGCGATGTATGTACATCCGGTTGACAAGTTCTAGACAGAGCAGAAAGAACGGTTTGAAATCCCCTTTTAGTCATTCTTGAGTACAAGATCACGATAAAAACAGATAACATCAACGCATTCGTGTACAAAGAGCACATATGCAAAAACGTAGGTCAGTCAATTCTATTATATAAATCAACAAGGTGAACAGTCAAAACATCCCGTTACAGCTGGTACTTGTTGAACAAGAGGTGGTCATCGCAATTCTCTAGCCCAGTGGATTACACACTATTGTTTGAAGAAATGAGTACAAAGTTCGAAACTTAAAAATCGAAACACGAAAACGAGTGCAGATACAATCAGCTGATGCACCCCATAGAGGACGCGATGAGCACCCTGGTGTGCACTGGAAACTATGAAATATATGATCAACATTAGCATGCAGAAATTTGATCCATTAATTTAGTGAATTACTTGGCTGTTAGTCACAAAAAAAATACTGGTCGAGCGTTGGAGGGTTGACTAACTATAATTATCCACTTTAAATAATAAGATATTAAGGGGGGCAAAAAGAAAATAGAGGACTAAGTTAAATTTTGTTAGAAGGAATGAACAACGAACCTTTTGGAATCATATCAGCAGTCACACAACAAAAATAAAACAGAGGTGATTATTACTTGAGAAAGATGGAGAATTCAGACGGGAACTGATTCGCTACATATGTTATTGAAGTGAGCAATCAGAAATGCATAGGAATCCCCCCCCCCTCTCATTAATGGTTTGAAAGAATAAATACTAACAAACTATGACTTCTAATCAGTTCACTTATCCAAAAATTATAAACTCATAAATTAGCATAAAACTTACTCTACTTGGCTTGGAAGTCTGATTATTATTACTTTCTGTAGATTTTGTTGCAGATTCACTGGTTTTAATAAGTGCAGCCTCTTTACATTTACGATTCTTTTCTAAACGCTAAAGGAAAAAAGTCAAATGTTTAAAATTAGGTACAAACAGTGATAAGTGAAATTGAAAGAAAAACCGGGCAACTACATGATTTGAACCACCAGTCTGCAGCTATTAGAGCTAGTGTTGTACTAACCTAAAGTTCAACTGGTGATGACGTCTCGGTTTCGTTTAAGTAGTCCACAATTAATCCGGTTGTCAAATATATTTAATAATTCCTATAAACAATATCTTCAAAAAGATACAATTTAATCTAATTTAATGACTAATTAAGGCAACTGTTTAAATTTGGATGAAAATTATTCACTAGATTCTGCATAGAATAAAAATGAAAAGTTTTTGACATATATCAGAGAGACAAAAACAGTGACAGTTTTTGTACCGGTTGAGTTACATTATTATTCCATCACTTCACAAAACCCAAATTATATTCAGAAGACAAAAAAAGTCAAATATTGGAAACTATTGCAAATCAACCTCATCGACTTTGAAAAAGCCTTTGACAGCGTCGACCGAGAAGTAATTTGGCAGCTGCTTCAACACTACGGAATACCACAAACATTTATCAATCTCATTCAACAGCCAGATATATGAAGACGCCACATGCCAAGTAATTCACACTGGGAAGCTCAGTGATGCCTTCGAAGTGAAGACAGGCTGACGGGTAAGACAAGTCTGTCTACTATCACACATGATATTCCTGATTGTGTTGTGGACTGACTGGATCATGCAGCAAACAGTTGGCAGCGAGAAGAGGGGGATACACTGGCCAGACAGCGGAAATGATCCTAGATGATTTGGATTTCGCCAACGATGACTTGTGTCTAATCTCACACAAACTTGAAGATCTACAGGCGAAAACTAACAAGTTGACAGAAGAGGCGAGGCAGCGAAGACGGGACTTCAAGTGGATGTAGAGAAGGCAGATGATGAAGATACCCAACCAACACCACCACCACCACCAACAACAACAACAACAACAAGCTCCAATCACCATCAACGGGAGAAACTTAAAGGAAGTAGCCTCCTTCACCCACCTGCCTAGGCAGCACTGTTTCAACTACAGGCGGCACAGGCACAGGCACAGACGAGGATGCCAAAGCCAGCCAGGATCGGAAAGACAGCAAGACAGGTGTTCATTAGTCTGAAACCAGTGTGGAGATCTTCTGCACTCACCACAAAGAGTGAACAAGATCCGGATTTTCAACACCAACGTTAAGTTAGTCCTGCTATATGGTTCAGAAATTTGGCGCGTCACGAAAGGGATCTCCAACAAACTACAGACATTCATCAACAGCTGCCTACGCTGGCTCGTTCATTATCATCATCATCATTATCAACATAGGACCAGGCATTACTGCGTAACGGTCCGAGTTGCCACACCTCATATCAGCACATCAAGTAAAAAGGTAGTGAGGTGAAGGATGAAGATAAGTGAATGCAGTCAAAAGAAATATAAAGTACGAGAAGAAAGGAAAGAGGAGTGACAAAATGGTGAGATTCGGTATAGCGTTGTTAAGATGAGGATAATATGTGTATACATCTGCGCCACAGACATCGGTTCTGAGCCATATCACCTAGAGTCTCCAACCACTGGTTCCTCTTTTCCCGTGGACCCCAACCACCTAGTCTACATCGTCCTACATGGCTTAAACCAACAGTCAGAGACTTCATACATTGGTGCCATGTTTTAGTCTGGCCACCTCGGGCCTTTTTCCAGCCTGAACCCACCTCAGCCAACATTGTGTGACGACGCAATCGACGACTAGGCATACGTAACAAGTGTCCCAACCATCTCAGCCGATGAAGGTTCACAACCTCGTCAACTGACTTACCCCTTCTCCCCAAAACTCTACACCTAACTTCTGCATTACTCACGTGGTGATACCATGGAATACGTCCTATATTACGAAGGCAACGGTCGTCAAACACCTGAAGCCTTTTTGTATCCTCCTCCTCCGCTGGCTCGTTACTGAAGATCAGATGGCCAGAATAATAAGAATAAGCAACAGGGAACTCTGGCTGGCTGGCAACGAACCAACAAAGCAAGAACCTATCGCTCAACAAATATGCAGAAGGAAGTGGAGGTGGATTGGGCATGCACTGAGAAGACCATCCGGCGACTCCACGAGCCAGGCCCTCGAGTGGAACCCGGATGGGAAGCGACGAGTTGGGCGTCCCAGCTGAGGGTGACATGGAGGAGATCGTGTGAGGAAGAAATGAGAGCCTCTGGGCTGTTGTGGAGCCAGGTTCAGAAGATTACAGAGAAAAGAATGCACTGGAGACGTGCTAGTGAAGCCCTATGTTCCATTAGGTACCCAAGGGACAAATAATCATAATAATAATAATAATTGCAAATCAATCACATTTAATGATCACCATACAGAAACATGCAGCAGGTAAGTTCCCAGTACAAAACATCTAGTTCTCGAGCAAATAACTGGATTCTCAATTGCATCAAGAATGCCCTAAGTTTACAGGAATTACGTATTTCTTTTGTATTCATATCAAGCTTGTTGGTTATTTAACCAATAGAGTTGACAATCCTTGTTGTTGACAGACAGATAGACAAGATCAAAATAAGACCAGATATTACTGCGAAACGGTCCGAGTTGCCACACCGCATATCAGTACATCAAATGATAAAGCAGTCATAAGTTGTAGAAAGTAGTCATAAGATAACAAGGAAGAATGAGAAATTACTGGATTCAGGAAGATTTGTGGATACATGTGCATCAATGACATCGATTCTGAGCAATATCTAGTCTAGTTTCTGTCAACAAGTAGACCCAACTAGAAAGTTTAGATTTCCCCACTTAGCTCAGACTGACAGTCGGACTTCATGGGCTGATGTAATGTCTCAGTCTAACCACCTCCAACCTTTTTCCAACTTGAACCTACTTCAGCTAACATAAAGCGATGACGCAGATGGTGACTAGGCATGAGTAATACATGTCCCAGACCCCCTGAGCCAATGAAAGTTAACAATCTCATCAAATGAGTTTCCCCTCATACCTAAAACTCTACACCTGATCCCTATGTTACTGAAGTGGTGGCGCTACGACACAAGACCTATGCTACGAAGGCAATGGTGGTGAAATATATGAAGTACCCTCTCATATCCTTTAACTATTGTTGACCTTCTAGTGGTAGATTTCCATGGACCGGCAACCCAGACGTTCAAGTTCATTAACAGCTTTCAAACTATGGAGATTTAGAAGACATACAACAAGGTTTCATAGAGGTAGTGAATAGATGATGAGCAACTTCGATGTGGGTGGGTGTAGGTTGAAATGTTTACCGTAGTATTTCATACACCGTTGCAGTCGCTGTAGTTACAATGGGATCTTGAACCAGTCTACAACAGTCGATAAATCCGAAAAGTCAGTCCTCCTAACAAATCTTAAAATTTAATATTACTTATTTAAACTTTACACATAACTAATGATCATTAGGAAGACTTATTCAGGTTACTTGAACATCATGTCAGGCTCATAACCAGTAAAAATATCTGTGCATATATGAATAGATCTGACTGAAAAAGAACAACAAAGCATCACGGAGTGGAAAGCGCGCTCATTAACAGCACGATTGTCAAGTACAATGAGGCCGCATTCGAAATTACAGAAATGTCAAAACCTCGAAGCAGATGCGAACTCAAACTCTCCGCCAACAGTATGACCAACAGCAGCTAGTCTGATGCAAAAGACGAATTCTATAAAGGCCTGTCACCAGGCAGGCATCGGACCTGTGCGAGTGTGCGTCGACCATGTTTTCAGCCTCCAACAGGCTGTGGAACACAGGAATTCCTACAAGCAGCCGACACTTGCCATATTTCTTCACCAGAAGGCGACATTCGACTCTGCCGACCATGAAGTGTTGTGGTAGTGTCTGAATGTGGAGTACCAAGTAAATGTATAACACTAATTAAAGTTCTCTACCCGAACTCATGCAGCTGTGTCAGGGCTTATGGAGAGTTGTCATGTGAATCGACGACAACTAGTAGTGTTCACCAGGAGTGCCCACTGTCATCGTTCCTATTTAACTTCGTCATGGATGTACTAATCAACATAACCTTGCGTATGTCTGACTTCACAGGGATTGATCTGCTGCAGGTCATCCGGTTGATTTGCAGTATGCGGACGATATTGTCCTGCTAGGTAAAGACGCTAACAAAATACAGGATCTTCTGGATACGTTGAGTAGAAATCTGAGTATGTTTGGCTAGCATACGTTTTGTGGACACCTGTCAAATGTAAGATGATACTCCAGGACTGATCTACAGCAGAAACTCCCAGTTTAATGATAAGGAGTCAAATGGTGGAATGTGTCAACCAGTTCACTCACTTGAGCAGTTTCATCAATCCAAAAGGACTGGTTGGTGACGAAATCTCAGCTCGGATCCAGAAGGCCCGTTTGGTGTTTGCCAACTTGCGTCATGTGTGGCCCCGGTTAACGAGATATCCGACTACCTGTTCAAGAACAAGCATACTGCGCTGCAATGCGTTCTGTCCTGTTATATGGCTGTGGAAATTATCCGTTAAAAGTAGAAGACATGAAGCGATTGCAAGGTTTTTATCATAGGTGTCTCCGTAGCATTGTTTACGTGTAGTGGAATCATCATGTGAGCGATGTGGAGGTTAGGTGAAGAATATCAGGGGAAACCGGCAAGTTTATTGATGAGGTTGTGAACTTTCAGGGATTGGGATGGCTGTGATATGTGTTGTACAAACCGAGGCACCGCCTACCTCAACGTGCAGTACTGGTGTGGGGAAATTTGGATTATTTTAGACGAGGGTTCAGAGTGGCCAAATCAAGCTTTGGCAGCAGTCGATGAAGTCTCCCATTGTCGATCTGAGCCGTGTCGGGAGATGTAGACTACCTGGTTGGAGTTTCCGAGACCCTACTAATCATTGTTTGGAGACTCTTGACGAAACCGCTGTAAATTAGTCCTTTTTGACTCATTTCAAAGCTTGAATGACTTGAATAACGTTCATTTTTAAATCCCT